CTTTCTTTCAAAAACGCCTGGCTTGAGAGTTAAAAGCAAGAAGTACACCACGAAATGTCTTCGATGGGATTTACTTCCCTGCAGCGCTGCTAAATCATGTATGAGGTGTGATCATCAGTCTCATCTGGTACCAAACTCAGTGTTGGGAATGGGACCGTGCCATCAAAGCACTGGAGCAAACAAGAGCTTCTCTGTGCTGAGATTGCACAACCGGCGCTCGCTTGGAGGAGCAAGGCCAGGCAGAGGTTCAGCATGACCTCCGCCTGACTCATATTTTTCCTCCTGTTACCAGTAAGAACTTTTTCCTCATGAGTCACTTTAAAACAGTTTGTGCATGTTCAGGGAAAAAAAACAAAACCCGAAGATTTTCCTGAGGAACAGTTTGTTGGTGAGACAGAAGAATCACTGAGTACAGTCAGGGGGGGTTCTGCCTGCACAGTTGAGCTAATTAACTCCTGGGGCTTTAAGTGAATGGTTTTTTACTCTCATTTGTATATGTCCTTTCATCTTGACTGCATTTTTCTCTGAAACACATCAGCGAAATAAGCAAGTGTTATTATTCCACTGTTTGGATATGTGTCTGAAGGACCCCTTCAAAAAATCCCAAGTTTAGCTGTTGTCCATGCTAACATAGGCCTAGCATATGCAGGCAAAACAGTGCTTTTTCTGTTCTACTTTTTTCTCGGGTAACATAAGCAAAAGCATATTTACAGTGTTGTAGCTGTGGCTTTCAGGAGGTCTGAAATACTGGCCTTTCTGCCTCCCCATGACTTCATTGCAGTGGCACATTTGACCTGCGTGACTTGCTTGTGGCTGCACAAGAGCTCCGTGGCAGGGGCAGGGACTTCAAGTCCCTGGAATTGCAGACCAGCATTTTAACTCTGAGAACTGAATAGTTAAAGTTTCTGAGAAGTTCAGTTCTCTGTAGGGAGCGGACATTAAGGTGTCCATTATATGTATTGATTTTCAGAAGCTGGAATAAGTTTGTATCCTCATGGCAGGAGTGATTTATTTTGTTTTGTCTTTAGCCACAAAAAGGTTACTTCTGGCCAAGTCAGCCTGTTCCTCTCTTCTAACACCTTTTGGCCTTGCTGACCTATTTAAGCCAGTTTTGACAGATCAGCTGCAGGCTCAAAGGCAATTAAGTTTCTGCAGGCTTTGCAAAGATCAGGAGTGGAGAGGAGGAAAGAAACCTTAGCAATGCCCCACCAAGAGAAAGACTGGTTTGAGCTCAGCCCTGTACCAAATGTCTGAAATATCACAGCAGGGGCAGTTTTTAAGACTGCCCTGATGGTGAGAAAAAAATCACTGGGAGTCACGGGCACTAGGGGATGCAGTCATGGGGCAGAAATCAGATGGAAATCAGGTCTTATCTGAACAGCTAGCAGCATGGTCTTGCCTTTGCATTCCTGACCTGGATCAGTTTATTTCCACTGTGAGATCCTCAGGACTGGTGGCACCTCCATCCGTTCCCACAGTCTGCTGTGGCCATAGTTTGGGCTTTCTCAGACTGACAGACTGTAATCAGGTTGAAATGGTGGGGGTCTGGAAGAGGTATCTGGGAGAAATTTACTGACAGCTGATCATGAGAGGTCAGGTTAAATGATTTAATGTTTCTCAAGCTTTAGGTCCTATACATCTATGGGAAGGCTTGCTGGCTTCTGGAGTATGGAATGGCTTTTGTTAGATTCCAGTGGAGCCCAAATGCCTAGTCCTGTTTCCTGCATGCAAACCAGTCTGTCTTGAAGCGTCATGACCATTTTGGGCATCTGAAATAGTGATTACTTCATAGACAAAATAATACAAAGCAAAAAGAAATGTTCCAGCAACTGAACTTTCTGTGTCAAACTCCTAGCCGAAAGAACATCAGGATCTTCTAAGTGACTAATTAAAAAAAAAAAGTGAATCCATCTAAAGAAATAAATGGCTAAAGAAAGCTTGCTGTCAGCCATGATATTCCAATTACTGATAGTACAGTCTAGGAGAGTCAAATCCCACCTCTAAAAATCTGCTTCTTGATCCTGAAAAATTATCCATGAATGGATTTTGACATAGCTTTTATTGGCACAGCCCTTCTTTGTATAAATTGCATACTTAGGTCAATTCAGACATTACAAATGTAACTGCAGAAAATACAAACAACAGAGCCGGGAGAACTGATCAGCTCCAGGTGACTGGGCCAGGACGACTGTGATGAGTTCCTTCCAGAGCGGAGTCCAGCTCGCTACCAGCACCACACAGCCAGGGCTTTTATTCCACTAACATCTCCTTCTCCGTTCCTCTCTCCATTGACCTTCCTCACCACCAAAGCAAGAGTGAGCAAATTTTCTACTGGGGTCCTAAGATAACACCTAGTTGAAAGGAATAAGGGAAAAAAGACCCAAAATTTATCTATAAAATACATCAATGGTTACTTAAAATATAATTATATGTAATCAGCCATGCATGTACACGTGGTCATTTTTCCAAAATGATCAATAAGTCTATCTAGTTTTCCTGCAGGAGACTGTATGGACTTGTGCTGAGTAAGCGCAACTCCTTACAGCAGCTGCAGTAATATGAAGAGCGCATGCTACTGCCTGGGATGCAGGGCATCATCTTCAACTTACTGCAGTTAACTCAGTGCAATAGTATGTCTGGAAGATGTGAAAATGGTTGTTCAGGACATGGGATGCATACTTAATTGCCTGAGTGGTCTCTTCCAGTATCTGCATTTGCTAAAAAGTAGGTTGCTGTGTGCCTAAAAGATTGTAACTGAAGAAATAATGCAGATATGAATCAGAACCTCAAAGAATTTGCAAATTACAAGGTAAATCCTTAAATACACATGACTTCTGTATCCATTTCTTGTTTAGATTAAACACCCACTGACTTTTGTTTGAAAAGGGGGTTCTACATATTCTGTATTTAGGAACCGTTTCATTCACTACTGCAATAAAATTGCAACTCACTGTTAGTTGCCTCACCCTGAATGTAAGCCCGGTGCAGCTGCCAGCCGTAAGACTGAGCTGTAAATGTGCAAAGTTTTATCCATGTTTTTTCATAGTCCTAAAGATCAGTGTGTATACTTAAGTCTTTTGGAATGGGGATGTTAGTCCTTTACTGCAATTTGGAGGATCATACTTCAGTCACAGAAGTCCTCAGTGGTGAAGATGATGACTTTTGTTTTATAGCTAACTCTGGAAAGCAGCAACAGTTTAAGATATACAGCAACCCTATCCAGCAGTTTAGGATTGTAAGTGGGAGACCTCAGATGCGATCCAATCCAGATGCCAGCCTGGCATTACCTACATTTGAATTTGGCCAGGACATACGCTTCTTACAGAAGGTGCCAAGTAATTTCTAAGGGCTAAAGATCTTATTTTTGTGAGTGCTAGCTGAAAAATTTCAATCAAGATATTTTTTCCAGAAAATTTAGATGGTTTAAAAAAAATAGATCACAAAGAGAAATATTTCTATTTGCAAATTGAATTTCACTGACTCAAGTCCTCTTTTCTATTTATTTATTTATTACTGGGGGGTTTAAGTCAGATGGCATCCTTTGTACAGCCTACAGCCAGGGTCTCCCTGTTGCCTCCCTGTGCTGACAGGAGATGGTGCACCTGGGGGATACAGCCTGACTAGATATCCTGGTGTGTGCAGGAGAAGGGGTGCTAAGGCACACGTTCTGCTTAGACACAGCAGAAAGGTTTCCAAACCAAAATATATTTTGTTTTTTTTGGTTTTTTTTGTTGAAATGTTCTCTGCTACACAAAAACATTTTTCAATTGAAGTCTGGGCAAGCCTTATTTTTCCTTTTTTTCTTCTTCTTCTTTTTTTTTTCCCCTGATGAGCTTGATATTTTATTTTCCAAGCCAGAAAAACAGCTCACAAGTGCCTCGACACTACACGGAGCTCTGGCTCTGCCCTCTGCCAGAGGATCTGAACCACCCTGCGACTCCCCTGTTGGCCCCGCATGTTCTCCAGGGCCCCAGCTCTCCTACCTTGTGAGTGCCAACATGGTGATTGCCTGGCAGTGTTTTACAGAAGCACTATTACTGATTTTCTGAACATGCACAAATGAGAGTTTGTGCTTCCAGCTCCCTTACATCTGGCTCTTTCGTCCACGTGAAATTGTCTACAATAATGTAACATGTATTTAAGTGCTGGTCTGAACATATTGCCTCAGCTCCAAGAACTGTACCTGTGATTTTCCATACTTTAGTGTCAGCTCCTTGTAAATATCATACTGTGTTTGCTCCTTTTCTTTGCATGAGCCAAGTGATATTGCACTGAAGTTATTTCCTGTGTTGTAAAGCTGCAGGCACGTCAATCTTGGGAACATGCCTTCATGATTTGCACAATGAAAAGAAAGGGATTTTGGTTTCTCAAATCTCCTGATTCATGCCCTGCCTAGTAAGGGTCTTGTTTGCCTAGCATTGCTCTGGTTTATGTGATGCTGAAATTGCAATGAAATGAGGAGCACAATGAAAGCAGCTAGTGAAACAGCTTAAATTCAGGAAAAAACATTGACATAGACATTTGCTTATACTCTTAGGTTTTTTTCAAGGTACAGAATTAAAGACCTACAAAATGGTATCACTTGATGTGTGGACAGAAACAAAATTCAGGATACATATACCTGGCATTCAAGGTATGTAAATCTGGCTCCTAGCTGTCAGGTATTCAAGGTGCGAGAGGGCATAAGTGCTCAGAAGGATAAACATGGACTAAACCAGCAATTTGAAATGCCTTTTTCTCAAAGTCAGGCTGGTGGGAAGCCAAGCTGAGCAGGCAGAAGATGCAGGTTCCCCAGGGAGAGTGCGAAGGAGAGAGAATTGGCAAAATTCCCACTGGAGCTTCTTTGTTTCTGTTGCCAGTAGTTATCACCCACCTGCAAAAGGTAAAAAAAACCCAGAGCACCTTTTCCCCTAATCCGAAAGCCTACATGTAAGGACGATCAAGCTCTACCACCTTGGAAACGAAGCAGTAAGAAGGGCTTATCCAGGACGGGCGATACAATGGCCAGAATCACTCTTTTTTTTGTTCTCATCCTCTGGGCAGCCACACAGCAGGGAAGGGGAAATGAAATTACAGGTGAGTGATGCAGACTTGGTCAGAGGACCACGGTTTTTATGTAGGACAGCTTAGTTTGGATGTGGGATATCTCTTTATTTGAAATAAACCAGCCAAGGTGGCCACTCTCCAGAGAACTGGCAATGTCTCAGGGACTCTTTAAGAATCCTCTGTTGATAATTTAACAAAGAAAATCTAACCAAACCAAATTCCTAGAGATGCATAAAATTAAGCTGTAGAAGACACGTTTAACTTTCATCTATGGTATGGGCTGTAATTTGGAAAAAACCTAACCCAGTTGCTAGGATGTAACTGCTAAATTAAATCCTAATTTGCTCTTAATTCCTGGTTTGATTTATTTAGATGAGAAAAGATTGTGATTTTTGGCTGCTTTTTGTTGCATTTTTTTACTTAAGTGGTTTTGCAAGTCTCAGTTAAAATACAAACTATATTTCTTAAAGCCTTGAACACTTTTCTGTTATTCTGTCAAAGTCACAGCTGAAAAAGAGGTTTCTACAGATTGGGGGTTAGCAGAACCCCCATTCTAGTGCCATTTAAAGTCAATGGTGTTGACTTTAAAAAGAATTTGGAATACCCAGAAAAATTGAGCCCTTAATCCATTTTTCTTCATGTTTCAGAGCCTTTGCCTTTTAAAGCTGAGTTTGAATCTGCCCTCTGTGAACCTGTTCAACAGATTACTTTTAAGGTTACGTCAAGACAAGAAAGGAGCTTGTCTTTGGCTCTTGCTGTTCTCCAGCGAGAAAAGATTTTGCAGATCCTAGCTCACAGTGGCTTTTCTGGCACTTGAGCAGTGAAGTTTCCAGAATTGCAGCTAAGTCTGTGGCATAAATGCTATCAAGCATTTTTTATTGCTGATTTTTTGATCGTGCTCTCAGTTCTGATCTGGGTTTGACCTTGAGTTATAAGCAGCCTGCTCCTAAAGACTTTCCTTTCAGACTTTCCTCTCAGTATTTGTTTCTATTAATAAAGTATTTGCTTTAATTGTTTCTGCTCTTGCTTAACATAATAAAATTTATACTTTCCCTGACAGTTCTGAAAGCTGGTGGTTGCCAAGATAAAAACCTGAAGTCCAGAGATGATAGGTGTAACATAGCCCTACTCATGTCAGGTGACTGCCTTCTGCTTTGCAATTAACTTCAGCTTTATATTGCTGGAAAGAACAGCCAGTGCATTTTAATTCCATTTGATAGTGCCATAATCCCGTAGATGGGGGTAAGGAGAACAGAAAGCCAATTTGCTAAAGAGCCCAAATTGATCTAAGCCACGTTGCTCAGCAGGAAACTGCTGTCAGCAAATAATTGAACACTGTGACTGTCAAAGCTTGTTTTAAACTGTATGGAAGTGATGGATGATGGCAAGGTTGGTGGTGCTGCACCTTCCCTGTCACCTTTGGTCTAACCTCTTCCAGCAAGGGTATCTTTTTGTACCACCATAGCCATATCTCAGACCTTCTCTTTGGCTTTGGAAGCCTCATTCTATACCTAGTATCAATGTTTAAGTATGAAATATGATTTCATATCTGCGCCGACAGCTGTAGCTTCTAATAATAAACTGTGTCTAATTCTACACTGTTTTATTCTCAGTTTCATACCTGTATTTATGTTGCACATTGCTGTAGAGCCTAAGCCAGCTCAGCTGACTCTGGAATTTTTAGCTTTCCAGTGCTATGTCCTCACTGCAGCCTCAGCTCTGCACGGACAACACGAATCTTCAGTGCTCTCCCTACTTGGTTGTTCTCTTCCAGTCCTTGCTTTGCTCTAGCCATGCTAATACGTGAGCTCTGGAGAAACAGAGGGATCATAGTGATGAGGAACCAGGCTCAACTCTTCTTCCTTACCTGCCCTACCGTCCTCCAACAAAATTTTATACTATAACAGTATGATTCCTTAATACAATGGTTTCTTTTTCTCGTTTTCATAGAACAAAATTTGTCCTGCCTCTCCCACCATCCCTGATCACCAACAGATGTTTGTGCACTTTCTCCAGATAAAGGCTAGATCCAAAATGATTTAGGTGTTTTTCCATTCCACTTTGGGTATTTAGCCATTCAGGTCCCAAACTAATGAAAAAAAAAAAAAGCTGAAAAAAGATTTTTTTCTCTTTTTTCCCATGCCTACATGCCTAGAAGCATTTGCTGGGGTAGGTATTCTTGGAGCACTCTTAACAAGTGGCAAGGGAATGCTTTACAAAATGCAATGAGAGCTACCTGTTTCTTGTAAGGCACTTGTGCCTGATGTGAAGTGATAGCCGATCAAATGCGTTGGATAAAAAGCAGCCCTTGATCTCTGTTTTCTGCTCCAGAACCCACAGAGGGATGTCCTAAAGTTAACCAGAGGAGGGAGACCACCTTACTTTCTCTGGCTCGCTTCACCTTCAGTTCCCTCCTGCACAGCCACCTACGTGCCACAGCTAGGTATGGGCTTTCGTGGTCCTGGTCAGACCTCTGTCCTGGCCATTGGGGTCCTCTCCTGGGCCAGGCAGGGTGTGGGTTTCAGCCGCTCGGCTTGAGACAGGCTGCATGTCTTCCCTCCTGTCCCTCACGACCATCTCCTTTCACTCTCTTCTAAAGGACTACATTCCTGGTGCTTTTTAGGGAAGTGAAGACCTTTCAGCTGCTGTCTCTGGAGCTAGCTTCACGGACTGGACACACTGGTGCCCTGCTTGAGGCTGGGGAGGAAGAAGCAGGGAGTAGGATTTCCAGATATGCCAGATATTTCTCATTATTTTCCTGCTGACCTGCTCTAAGCAGCAGCACAGGGCTCCCTGGAGCCCGCTGACAGGTCTCTTGCCCTCACACGTCCTCTCTGTAGCATGCCCTGACATCGAACTCTGCCTTTTGTGCGGGAGGAAGGCACGATGGATGGGTAAGGCAGAGCAGGGCTGAACTCCCAGGGGCCCGATGCTCTCCCTGGGTCTGGTCAGATGCAAGGTATTTATGCTGGGGGTGGTCTATGGTCAGTCCCAGCCCTCTCTCCATCCTTCTGCTCTTCCAAAGTGCCCTTCTCTGCTGGGAGGTGTCTGTGCCTCGGTTTGGGAATTGCACCAAGCAAATCCATTTTTCTTCACGGCCTTTTGAACAAGTAAGGCAGGGGACATCTTTCAGGCTGTTATTATTTGAGCAGTAGCTAGGATGAGGGCTGGAGGAAGACCTTCTGGGTGACTTGTTTGAGCCAGCTTGAGGGATGTACTGTGGCCTGTGGTATCTATCCCATGCTTTCTTCTGGGCTGTCCTTGCACTACAAATGGATCATCCTGTTCAAAGCTCTTTTACCAGTCCTGCTCAAATTGCATGTATCTCTTCTGTTTAGCTGGAAAGCTAAACATGATAAAAGCACATGATTCCTAAGAACCTGACAATTCTTTTTTTCTTGAATTGTTTTTACATGTTTCATTTTTTCAGGCAGGAGATAAGTTGTACAAATAAGCTAAGCTGTAAGTATTTTAATTGTATGCCTGTTGTGTATACTATGTTAGCTTCAGTCTGTCTGTTGACTGGCCCTGGTTCCCTCAGAGCTCTCAGAAATAACAATCCTGCCATACTTGAATCTCTGCAGCTAACTCATGTTTATCCTTATTGAAGGTTTTTTATTGCTTTGTCTAAAGGATGATATAGGTGTTTTAATTCTAGCCCATCTATTTCCCAAAGGGGACACAGACTGACTCAGCCCCTCTGGCTTCTAAAACATCTCATTAGGAGACAGCCTGATGTCTGTGACATGGTTGTAGGTTGCTTACTGCTAATTCTTAAACTCCATCTGGTTTTGTTGCTGTTGTTGTTGTTTGGGTTTCTTTTTCTGCTCCTTCTCAAGTATTTCAGTTTTAAGTAAAGCATTTAACAAGCTCGCTCCTCATCATGACTGGTTTCAGAGATCCAGCAACTGAGTCCCATTCCCAGACCTGTGTGAAATTATGTAGTTAATGAACTTATCACTGACTTTGTTTATACTGAAGTCAATGAACCACTGCAGCTCTCAAAGGGCCTGGTCTAATACGGTCTGCTACAAATGCAGATAGGCAACATAGGAGCTTCAGGAATATGTTTTGTGTCAGATACCTGAAACTCCTTCCCAGTGACGTATGAGTACCCAGTTTTAGCCTAGGGTGATGTCTGAAGGATGTCTTATTCCAGACATCTACTGTGACTCATCTGCCCGTGAATTCATTGCCCTTTGTTCCCTTTGTAGTCAACCAAGAAAGATGAACACTTTGGCAGCATGAGCCTGGAGTGGACATCTAAAGTACTTGGAAGAGTCTGCCCTGGAAGTGCCTATTCTGCTCTACTGTTAATTTCTATTAATGTATATTAATTTCCTTTATGCTTACTTGAGTTAAATTGCCCTTTTTCTTCTTTGCACCTGAAGGCACTGAGAGCTTTTTGAATTTTCTGCCAGTCTGCATCCTTTTATGGCTGAAGTGCTGCCTATGACAAGCAGTCACTACTAATTCTTTCTTCTGTCTGTTTTCTGAAGTGACATTCTTCCTAACATCAGCCTTCCTGGAAATCATTCATCTGTGTTCGTTCTGTCACTGCTTTCTCATAACAGTATTTTTAACTAGCTACTGCAGGGAACTTACGCTCTGTGGTGACAAGTTAGTGCTGATCCCTTTCTTTCCTGTGTTTTTTTTTTTTTTCCTCCCTAGAAAAAGGCCTCTCTTTGCTAGGGTACCATCTGTGCAACTATAGCCTGACCAAAAATGTGTTTAAAACGGTTGCCTACCAAAAGTCCTATGAGAAGAGCACTTCGTGTGGAGGATGGATACCATGGATGGTGTGTCCCCGGACGTACTATAAAACACAGTATCATACTGTTGAAGTCCCTGAAACCATCACTCTTACAGATTGCTGTGAAGGATATGAACAAGTTGGACTCTACTGCTCTTTAGGTAAGTTTTAGTCAGATTAATAGTTAAAATAAATGCTTCTGGTGGAAGAGGGTTCACTTAAACTGAGATGTGTAAAGGCTTAATTCAGTTCTGGGCAATAGGTTCCTGTTCACTGAAATCAGTGAGTCTGCAAAAATCTACAGTAACCTTGGTCCAACATGGTAAGGAGTAGTCATGAAAGACTGATTCTTGCTCTTGGCCACCCCTAGTCACAAAATCACTAAAGTTCCAGGTGAGCATGAAGAAGGCACCTGCTTGGTACCCCTACAAGGGCTCATTACTTGTCCTGGTTTAGTCCAATATCCATGGCCAAGGGCAATAACTCACATAGCCTTGCTTGGTGCTGTGTCTGCTCTGAGCGTGCTTGCATTTACAGTAGGAGCTTTCTTCTCAAAAATAATTCAGGATGCACTTAGGATAACATCTCCTTTGATTTGGAGCAGAGTCAGTTCCCAGGATACAAACCCAATTTTGGTGTTAATGTAAAACAACCTGTGGCCTCCGGGCAAGCTGGTACCAACTGCTTTCCAATCAAAAGTACATTAGGGCCCATTTTCTCAGGGCTTCCTTGGTTACCTAGGGCTATGTTGGAGGTCTGGAAAAGCTGGTGAACCTTTTGATGGATCTGATCTAACTTCTGAGTTTTAATAAGACTCTACTCAGGAAGACTTAATCATCTTTGACTCAGGATGGAAGCTTTTTCCCCTTCCCACATCAGGGCTACCCGTTGTCAACACTACATTCCCAATTTTAGCAGAAAATGTAAATGGAAAGGATTTCTTGGGGAAAAGGAACTTTTTTTTTTAATGCATAAAGCCACATGCTTTTAAGCTGAACAGGGATCTTGGATTAGCTAGGCCAGCATTGGACTGTTCCAGCATCCAGAAAACTTCTGCAGAACATAATTTTGTCTCCTATTTTCAGTATGATGTTGTATTGTCTCCATTTCCCCTTTTCAAGTTATGGTCCTGGGAATTTACGTAGTCACAACACTGTCACAGAAGATTGAAAAGGAAAGGTCCTGTTGCAGCCCTGGCCCTTGCTTTGGGTCATAAGACTTGGGTGACTCAGATCTATGGGAATGTCCCGGAACTGGCTCCTGCATCAGATCATATAACGTGACATGACAGGGTATGAGCCATATGTCTTGTCATGGGATCTGTCAAGAACAATGTGTTCATCCTACTTGTAAGTTGCTTCATAACATTGGAAAATGAACCTCCAAACAATTTTTGCCATGTGTTTTCTCAACAGTTACTAGTAGAATATTGTGTCTAGCAGGAAAATGCTTTTAACAGAAAGATGGGAACGCAGAAGTGGTCGTGTTTTACTTGTTCTTAAAATGATTTGCTAGAGAAGAGAAATGAAAGCATAATTAGAAACACATCATTCTTATATTTATTGTATTCTGCTATTTTTTGGCTCTGTGGCTGTTGTGGAATGTCAGCCAGGGCAAAATTTGACCTGCAGGTTATGGTGTGTCCAGGTAATCTTGTCAGACTGGCAAAGGACCCACTGTTGATCATGTGTATTTTCCAAGCATCAGTTCCATGCTGGGGAAAATCTCCAGTAGGTCTAATTATTGTTTAAAAGTTACTTCATTAAGGTCTTTCTGATATATATGCATGTGCATACATGCGTGCACCTATGTATCAAATGACAAGACTGAGAAGCAAGTGGCGAAAATTGCTTTTTAATTCTGTAGTACAAGGAAATAGCTGTTAGTGTTGTGGTTTAAACCCAGCCGGCAAGAAAGCACCATGAAGTCACTCTCTCTCTCCTCCCATCCCCTGTCCCCAATGTCATGAGGAGGAGAAAATACAGAGGAATGCTCATGGGTCGAGACAAGGACAGGGAGGGATAACTCACCACTTATGGTCACGGGCAAAAGACAGGCTCAACTTGGGGAAAAAACAAAATTAATTTAATTTACTACCAATCAAATCAAAACACCAAATCTTAAAACACCTTCCCCCCACCCCTCCCTCCTTCCCAGGCTTAACTTCACTCCCAATTTTCTCTACCTCCTCCCCTCCAGCAGCACAGGGGGACGGGGAATGGGGGTTGGGGTCAGTTCATCCCACGTTGTCTCTGCCGCTCCTTCCTCCTCAGGGCAGGACTCATCACACTCTTCCTCTGCTCCAGCATGGGGTCCCTCCCACGGGAGGCAGTCCTTCACAAACTTTTCCAATGTGGGTCCTTCCCATGGGCTGCGGTTCTTCACGAACTGCTCCAGTGTGGGTCCCTGCCATGGGCTGCAGTCCTTCAGGCACAGACTGCTCCAGCACAGGCTTCCCATGGAGTCACGGCCATCTTCGGGGGCACCCACCTGCTCTGGTGTGGGGTCCTCCATAGGCTGCAGGTGGGCATCTGCTCCACTCTTAACCTCCACGGGCTGCGGGGGCATCACCTCCTCCAGTGTACCTCCTCCTCCTTCTTCAATGACCTTGGTGTCTGCAGAGGGGTTTCTCTCACATTACAATCTTCTCCCCCACTGCAGGTTCCCCTTCTTAAATCTGTTCTCCCAGAGGTTCTACCACCGTCACTGATGGACTCGGCCTTGGCTTGGCCCGGTCCGACTTGGAGCTGGGGAAGCTTCCAGCAGCCTCTCACTGGAGCCACCCCTTCTGCCCCTCCCTCACTACCAAAACCCCACCACACAAACCCAAAACAGTTAGCTAAATGTTGAAGAGTCACTAGCTAGCTATGGTTTGTCTCTATTTGCACAAGTAATCTTGATTTTCAAGGTGTTTCAGAACCTCTGAAAATCAAGAACATCTTCTTGGGTGGAAAAAAAAAGGCATCCTGGTATTTTTCCCAGTATAATTCTATGCCTTTTAAAAGCATCTCTAGGGATATTTTAGGCTTGAGAGCTGTTGATGAGCTGATTTCATCTAGCATTAACAAATCTGTAAATCTCTTGTAAAGCTTAGCTGCAGAATTTCCGCTCTGCCCTTGCCACGTTGTCGATGGGCACGCTGGGCAGGTTTGTCCATGAACTACTGTGGTCACCTTGACTGTTTTTCCTGTCAAAGTTAATTTGGGAATATTTTAAACCATAAAAGGATTTGTATGGCTTCTAGGTGATTTCTGTGTTTACATTATTCTGGTATCTTTGATTTTCAGCGCATTAGTCATAAATTCTGTGAATGGTAATGCACTGTCTAGACACAGTCTTAAATAAATGATGAGAAGGGAAACTGGAACTGCTGAAATTACTGCACAGCATGCTGTTGAACTACTGTTATTTTCTTCTTGATGTTATCCATGCTGGCATGCTCTCCATCCTACTAGGAGCGGAAAGGTCTCCATGACCTTTCACAGCAACCCGCTCCTGGCCGCTCCCTACCTTTTCTTCCCAGAAGAAAACATTTACCCTTGCCTGGAATATGGCAGGCCCCGCTTTTCTTAATTCTTTACTGTTGGAAGAAATGTCTAGATCATTAGCCAAGTTACTCTGGTAGTTCTCAATAGTTGCCCATCAGTTCATTAGGATAGTATTACGCACACACAAACTACTTTAACTTTTTAAAAATAAAAATTGAAAAGCTAAAGTATCTAAAAGTTAGGAAGTGCTAGAATTAATTCTAGAGGTACAATTAAATAAAACCACCTTTGCTTCCTGTCCTTGTGCCTGTGCATACAGATTAATAAACTCTTTTAATTGCCTGATTCGGCGCTGCCTTGCCCCAAGGACCACGTTTCCCTGAGGTGCTCAGGGAGGACAGAGCCCCTCTAAGGAGATCCCCAGCAGTGCGGCATCTTGGCCTCCGCATTTGGTGCGTGGTGCAGAGCTCTGCTGAGCCTCTCTCTGAATAGAGAATTATTTATCACCTCTTGAGGTGATAAACAGATAGCAATTTGTCTTCACAAAGCCTGCGGGAAGGGAGCAAGGTTCTCTGTCCTTGACAGCTGGGCAGCTGAGCTGCAGAGACACTGACATCAAACCATTTTGTGTGCCCACTCTCAGACACCTAGGGTGCAGGTTTAATTTTTTCTTAAATTTATTTTGATTTTGATTTTCAGAGTGCTTAGTGCTGCCTGTAACAACTTGCGTGGTTGGCACGCAGAGCCTCGTGTCCTCGATGGTGACTGTGAGCAGTCCCCTGATTGCTAAGCAGGTCCCAGGGCTGGCAGGTCTGGTTCCTGGACCTGCAAAACCCACGGTTCTGAAAGGTTGTCATGAGTTTGTTGTATGAAACTTTCCCAGCATCTTGCAGGATTTTTTTTTTAGGTAGAGAGTCCAATTCTCCAGGCTAGTTTCCAGCTGCTTGAATCAATGGTATGGTTACTTCTCCTGGTGAGTGGTTTGCTGCCCACCTTCCACCTTACTGCATAAGATGAAACCAGAGAGCTTCCTTATCTGCCATCTAACCCTGCTTGATACCCAGCTAGGGAGCAGAAGAGTGCATCAGCATGCGATGAAGGCTGTTTTTTAAGCACACATATACAAAAATACCTTGAAATAAGAAGGTCCAGGTTACTTTAATCCTGGAGTTTCTTGACTTGAGAACACCTGATTTGCAATGTTAAGGCCATGCTTTAATCAGAGAATGCTTTGCATAACTTCCTAAGGTTGTCAGAAAAACAACTGTAAACTAAAAAAAATGTTCATTTTAGGTGCCCAGGTAGCTCCTCAGCAGGGCTGGGACCTTCCAGAGCGTGCATGCAGACATCTGCATGCTGAGTCTAACCGGAGCAGCGGGGAGATGCGGCACAGCTGCTCCCCCTGCCTGGGCTGTCACCAGAAAGCTGTGGGACATCGGTGTCACCAGGGGCACGTGGGCAGCACCGCAACATCCCACTGGGGTGGGAAAGTGCCAAAATGCCCTACGGGACCTCACGCAGAAGCAGGTGTCTCTGGCTGCCCTGTGGTTTGGGTCCCTTGTGTGCCCTCAGCTGCTGCAGAAATGGGATGACGGGTGTCAGAGGGTATGTCTCTGCCTATTCCCCGTGGTGTTTGCTTATGGACCTCCTATGTGGGAACTGTCTTGTCCCTTTTTTGAGCCCACCGAAGCTGTCTGCCTCCACACCCCCTGTGCCAACAAATTGCAGAAGTTCACTCCCATTTGGGTATAGAAGTGTGTGCTTTTACCCATTTTATTATTGTGGGCTCTGGTGAATACCAGCTCCGCTTTCACCTTACCCTCTGCCTTTGCGATTTTGTAAACCTTGACCCCCAGCCTTCTCCTCTCCACACCAAAAAGTCCCAGCCTTTTTAGTAGTCTTTCCTTGCAAGTTATCTGCTCCATTCAGTTACTCACCTCATGCCTTTCCCGACCACGTTAACCCCAGGGGGAGCAGGGGTACCTGGAGTCGCATCCAAGCTGCGGGTTCACCACGGGTCCCTGCCAGCTCTCCAGCGACTGCTGGTGCGGGCACGGCCACATCGCAGTGCTGCTGGCAGGATGAACCCGCTGGAGGTGGCAGTGGCTCAATTTCATTAAGTTTCTTCTCAGCACGCACAGACTGGTTTTGTGCTTCAAAGGCCATGATCCCCATTGTCCAAAAGCTGTGTCCTTGCCAAATTTCAACCCATGGCTCCTGAATATGTTCTAGTGAATGACGTGGCTTTTCATAGGGAGGGGTGTTAAATATTTGTCAGATGCTGAACCAGCACACCCTGACACTGCCCTCCATCCCGATTAACCCCCAGACAGGCAATCAGGCTGGAAAACATCCATCTGAGCAGGTAAAGTCTAGCAGTGCCCAAAGACCCCCAAAACAGGGTCATATGATGAAAACTGCCAGTCTGCCTTTGTAACAGGCTTTGCCAGGGGCTCCTTCTATAATCTCATAGATTTGTCTCCACCTTCTGATGCCTGAGATGAATGCAGGGGTTTGGTCCCTGGCTCTACTGCACCCTCTGGATGAAACCCATCCCCTCCAGGTGGAAGGAGGGAGAGGAAGGGGGTTATGGCTGAGCTAGTGGTGTCCCTCAGCATTTATCTCCTGGGAGATCCCCCTCTTCTACAGTCACAGCAGACCCGGCAGTTCTCGTGTGGGCAGGCTGGTAACTGAGCTTTCGTTGCTAAGCACTAGGTGCTGCATTTCTGCTTCTGTAAGTTTATGCAAATAGCGGAGGAGAAAAGCCTATACTTTATCCAACTGACAGAGGAGTTAGCTGGCTTGCTCCCCAGTGCTGGCAGTGTTGCTTGGTAGGTGACTGTCCCCGAAGTGATTGAAGTGGAGAGCATAAATCGAATTTTCAAAGTGCGTCTGGTACAATGGGGCAGAAATGTGATGTGAATCCATCTCTGTTTCCGCTGATCTGAAAATGATGACCTTCTGATTTTAGATAAATGGCTAGTGTGGCACTCGGCCAGGATTCAATAGAGTTTTCTGAGTTTGCATGTGACTCATTAAATCTTTTACACTGCAGTTAAACATGCCAAAATAAGACCTAGGTGGAAAAAAGCTGCTTTGAACCTCAAACCTGCTTGAACTGCACCTGAATCTCAGAACTAGAGCTAGAGGCTCTGGACATGTTTGAGTCCGGCTTACCAAGATCCACCTGGTTTGAATAGTAAGGAGCACTGGTGATGTACCAACACAGGGAAATCCCTTGGTGCTTGTGTCTGTGCAAGCTCCCGGTGTGAGAGGCTGCTTAGCCTCCCCGCACAGGAGGCTGGGACAGAGCAATCGCATGAGACTGGGAATGCGTGGGAGACTCATCTAAGGGCAACTGAGGCCGTATCACACCTTATTGTGGCTTTAGACTAGAAATCAGGAAGAAGCTTTCTAGCAGTAGGGCGCGTTTGGGGGAGCGACCCATAGTGCCAGCCCCGGAGCCAGAAGCGGAGGTTCTTGGTCCATGCTGGGAAGCAGAATAGGACTACTGGGGCTTGCTGGACCCAGAAGTAACTTGAGTCAGATTGCACAGGGTTGATTTTTTTTTTTGCCTCATCCTCCCGCTGCAAACCTAGGCCTATGACTCAAAATGAACTTTGGAGGCAGAGTTGGTCCTGGGGAAGACTAAGGAGTGTAAGGGCTCTTGGTTTCCAGGCATGAAGGGGCCCATACTAGGCTGCATTAGGTAGCAGGACAAATCCTGCTCCCTGTAGGACAGCCGGCTGTTCATTGGGGTTGGGAGCAGAGGTAGGGTTTCCTAATTTGCTGCCCAGAGCTCTCGTGGGTCTAACACCAACTCTACTTGAAAGATGCTCGCAGCCCTGTTAAAGCATGTGCTCATTGACTGTGTACACACGAAGTGTACACACACAGTGTATCAAATACAATATAAAACTGTGGGAAAGTGCTGCCTCATGTATTCTGCATGAAAATCTGTAAAAATACACGTGCAAGTAACCTGCATACTGCTGAGAGGTCTCAACTCAGTGCTTTCCCTGTTTTCTAGCTTGTGGGTTTTGGCATGTTTTTCAGTAAAGGTGTGGAATCCCATCATTAAATCATGATTACTCTTCTTAATTACCTTTCAGAGACTGTTGACAAGCATACTGTGGGCTCCCAAAGAGACACAGGCCATAGTCTTAAAACCGCTGGTCTTAATAGTCTATTTCTTTGTGCAAATATGACTGTATGTCCAGTTGCAGAAGTGGCTGACAATTTTACATGCTGAATTTTCCATGCCCCATTTTGAGCTCAATCCCTGAACTGTAGATTGGTCTGGGGATTTGGAGTACTAGAAATGAGATCTGTTATGGAATGTGCTAAAAAGCTGAGGTTCTCTGCTTGCAATAGCCTCCAGTCTCCCATGGACTGGCAAAGAGGGGGAACTAGAATGTGCATGTAGCAGCAAGTTACATAGATTTAGTTTAAATCTTGATTAATCACGATCATTTACCTGTTTAAGAAGGTTACTTTGCTGAGGCCAAAAGTCCTAGATTCAATATTCCCTTCTGCTTCTCAGAAACCTCAGGTTTACTATTATTCAGAGCCTTGGGATAAGAGAAACCCCACAGAAATGAGGGTTCATGAGAGATTTATAGTTTGCTATGGACCTTTCATTTGCTATGGATTTTATTATATTGAATGTGGTTTTCTTGCACTACAACCTGTTTCTGTTGCAAGAATAATTTTCATTTTCCTGCTGGCTGACTTTAATTGCCCAGATCAAGAGTTCGTAGGACCAAAAACTTGTAGGTCCAAAATGAAAGGAAAAGAGAAATCTTTTAGGTTGATTGGAAAGACCAGAGCTGAGCATTACTTGGACCTATGTTTGAGACTGTGGGTAAAAGCAATGTTCGTAGAGCTTAGAAGTATTTCCTCTTCTCCTCCGGAGAAGAGTTATGTGCTGGCATTGAGCCAGGACTGCTGTCTGCCCTTGGCTTGGGAAGCAGTAACCTTCTGCCTTAGCTGCCCTCTCTGCAGGGCTGTCCGGCTTGGGCTAGCGACCTCCCCGGGTTGGCTAGCTGATACAGAGCGGGTGCTGCCAGGCTGCAGACCATGGGCTCAGTTCTGCTCCCCAGTCCCTCTGTGTAACCCACTGAACTGTACCTGAGAACAGCCTTGTGTCTCCGCTCCCATGTAACATCTTCAGTTCCTATAACTAAAGGTTAACTTTGTCACAACAGAAGGTTAAATGAAAGCTCCCAATTTCTAGCTTAGACATTACCTGTTTCTTTGATCATTATATTTTATTTGGATTAGTCCTAGATGACATCAGGCACATTTTCTGTTTTGCAGTGCTTTCATTTAGAAACTATCTATCTATCTATCTATCTATCCATCCATCCATATTATTAATGGAAAATTATCAATTCAAAATTTCTGTAACAGAAATGTCATGAAAAAGAGAAAAATTTGAGAACATTTGCACTCTTGAAATGAAATAATGGTATTTTAGGCTGCTATTTTCTCTCCATGAAAACCTCAGAACAGACACGCTTCTAAAATGAGGAGGAGGTGTTTGCTATAAATTAAATAGCACGATTTTATGGAAACAATTTTCTATATTTTTGTTCTCAGAAATGTTTTTGTTACTTAGCGCTCAATAGATCCAGTGTGTTTGCCTCAAGACCTGGTATTTGTCCAATGGAGAATATGGAAACATCTGATTATCCTTGCACGTTCGATACTGAATGTCCAGGGCTTAAAAAATGCTGCAATTCATCCAAAGGAGCAGGCTGTGTAGATCCAATGCCAGAGGGTATGTTACTGATAAATTCAAGGCTGCTTCTAATAGAAATATGGTTAATTTTTCCTTCTGAGGGTGGAGGGGGCAGGAAAACTGTTACCATAGCTCTTCATAAAACAAATACGGGAATCTGCTCTGGATCAATTCCAGGATATTCAGCTTCAGTACTCGCACCCGTGAGCACTGAACGGTGCGTGGGTGCTGTGGGTCCAGCAGACCTCCCTTGGCTTCTTTTTCTTCGCTGGCACCGCTGCCAGCGGCATATGGCGAACGAGGCCATAGCTGATGGCTGTACATGGGCCCTTCATATTTGCCAAGTTAAAGCTTGCTTCGGTTGCTCAGAGCCTTCCTATAGCTCTGTCGCTTTCCATAGCATCAGACCTCAGATGACTTGGCTGTTTTATTTTGTACGCTTCAGGAAGAACGTTCTGGTACAATGTGACAGTGCTTGTGAAAATGGATTTTAATGAATTAATCAGAGTGGATTCCCACCTTCTGAATCATTCGCGCCTTTTGCACTCCATGGTATGTACAAACACAAACGCTCCCCTGTGTTGCTTGTTGTGTCTATGTTTCTGTTACTCAGGAACCACCACTTGCTTCATAGTCCTCTGTGCTGGGCATAACCTTGCCAGCCCGTCGCGCCCCAGTTTGTTCTGCCACATTGATTTTTTTGGCCCTAATTTATTCCTAATTACTGAATGTCAGCTGCATCCTCAAGCAGCTCAAGTAACATTGATTTATCAGCTTCTTTAGTAAATTTTTCAGCTCTCTTCCAAGGGCAATTTAAAGACATTCTGAAATATAGGGGTTTTTCCTACTTAAGTGATGCTTGCTCCAGCTCTGGCTCAGTTCAGTTTTGGGTCTATGACTGACTGGGTCTGGATTTCAAGACCTGCAAAGCGTGATGTTTTCTGATAAGGAGCTTTGAGTTAAACCTTTCAAGAGACAAGCCTGATCTACGGCGCTGGGACCTACACGGCAGGTGGACTCAGCAGTGCCAGAAGCTTCACTGTGAAAACCCAGGCTTATGGCAGGGGGACCGTGTCTGGGTCAAGGGCGTTTCGTTGTCATTCTTGCCCCAGAAGCAGGGCTGGGGGAGACAGCAGAACGTTGCTTTTGCTGTAGGACCGAGGCTCTGCCTTGTGCATGGATTAGCAGCGGCCAGGGCACCAATGCATGCAGGGCCATGTGACAGCAGCGCGGCACATCTCTCCCTGTCCCCGACATGGCAGGCAGGAAAAGTCCCAAGAAGAACAAAGTCCTCACAGAGGCGTGAGGCACGTTTCCTGAAAGGAGGGTCTGCAGGAAGAACCAGGCTACAAACTACAGCCGTGCCCAGACAGGGCGGCTCTCTCTGTCCTCTCAGTGGTAGTTAGGATAATGGATTGATGAACTAGGATGAAGACCCTCCGGGTCATAAACCCGAAGCAGTTCCCTAGTACATATCACCATGCCATGGAGAAAACCAGGCTTGGATGTGGCCTTTGAAAGGTACCCGAGAGGGCAGGTCCCTATTTCCCTCCATTTTTATTTCTGCTCCTCCCCAGTTTCCAGCTGGGAGTGGGCAAGTAGCAAAGGAAACCCTTCTGCCATCGTCAACTGGCACTGACGGGCCCAAGAATAGAAATGGTAGCAGTAGCATGGGGATGTTGCATGAGTGTAGTTCTTCCTCCTACCTGAATTCCCCCTTCTCATATCCTAAAAAAGCGAGAAACCCTGGTCCTGTTGCTGTATAGTAAGGAGTAGAGGGCAAGGATCTACCCAGACTTTTATATCTTGGTCTAAAGCAAGCTATGGCAAAGTCAAACACTCAAGAAATAGGAAATACAAACCGAAGCTTTGCAATAAGCCGCTACTCAGAGGAATGTCTTCCAGGCCCTGTCTGCTTCACTGACTCATAATGCTCAGCCTACCACCATGTCCCTTCTCTCATTCCTGACTCACAGTTGTGATGACTTGGTCAGTCCTGGGGTCTCTCTGTGGCTCTTAGTCCCAGCTTTCTTCATCAGTCTATTGCTTTTCTTCTTTTTCTTTCTATTCCCTTTGCCAGCAGTCTTTTTAGTTGCTTAAAGTAAGAAGTGTTGGACAGCTTTATTACAGATGCCCTGTAATAGCATATCTCTTATATATTATGTCTATTGAGATTTTAGTGTTTAAGCATTACAAGCCAAAGAGACTTTTCCCATATCTTCCTGGCTTGCGTCCTCCTGCCTACGAATTTGAGATCTGACATGCAGCTCCACATCTATCTTAGCTTGGCATGACTATATCATAACTCCATTGTGAAATGTGATAATAGTAAGAACTCACCTTGCATAAATACAGGCTTAAATGTTGCCACTTTGCTATGGTTTCTGAATTTGTGCTTTCTGCACTCAGGTTATGATGATAATCCTTGCATAAGTTATGCCTCTTTGGCATACAGCTGTGCTGAGAAAGGAATGAGATACTGAAGTGTTTTTTCCCCTGTTTTCCAGATTACTGGTGCGTTACAGCCCTTGAATGCCTCCGTGCACCATATCCAGAGTAACCGTGCAGAAGTATATGCCGGGACGGTGGCCTCTTGGGTTCTCATTGGACTGCATCAGCCAGCCCCACTAGCAGAGGTTTCTTCTTCCTTGAAGGACATTGTCAAGCGCACGTATGAAGTGATTGACACAGAAGTGCAAGGTTATTATAATCCTGTCACAGGGGGAAACATTTTTAGGGGGTTTCATCCCTCTTCACTTGGGATTTCATCTATATGACTGTCAATTTGTTTTCAAAAATAACATAGTGGATCTTGTAAAGTTTGCAAATATAGCCCTAACCTTTCCATTATAGAATGGAGAGGTTTGTAGATCATAATGAGTGAATAGTTTGGAGGGGAATACTCCTGATTGCTCAATTAAATTTATTTTCTCATAATACCATAGCCCATCTTCAGATGAAAAAGCAAAAGTGTCTGTATTTGTAGCACAATCATTAGTTGTACTAAACAGGTTCTTAAAAAAAGTGTTTTCTTGGGAAGCAGATACACTCTGTTTTTATAGACATGTGTTACAGTAGCTTGCAGGAAACTAGTCGTATTTATAGTCTGTTAATTACTATAGCGCATTACCACCTACTTTTTAAATATTAGGTAAATATTTAAATATATTCAGTTTAAATTATTTTAATCTACTTACTACTGTGTGGTTACCTGAACATTTTCACTCCCGAAATGCATCGATAAGCACTGTTGTCATCACTTCTTATTCTGTGTTTACTTTTGAAAACTCAGTCCTCAGTCCAAATTTCAGTGAAATCACTGAGTAAAACTCCTTTCTCCTGTCACTGATGTCTCTTAGGTTTGGATGGCATCCTGCAACTCTAAGCAGGAGCTGCCACTAACTGTCCTCTTATTGCAAAGAATTGGAGTAAAAAGTGATAGGGTTATAACTGTTTTGGGGAAGGGCAGCATTCTGATTTCATTGCACCCCTATACATCCAGAATTTCTTCAGCAGAGTTACTGCAGATTTACACTGTATTTATCATATCCAAAGCCTGGTCTACACACATTGCAGATCAAGCTTGATGCTGCTATCAATATCTGTGCAAGTTGTGTTCCTCTTCTTAGATGTCAATGAATGTTCCTATGCGGAATTCAACGCTTGTCCTGAGAAAAATACCTGTGTAAATCTGGAGGGTTATTACAGCTGTGACCCTCAGCATGAACATGCAGATGTCATCTCTCACCAGCTGACCCAAAGAAAGGAAGGTAAGAGACACAGGTCTCACCTTGGGAAATACCAAGAATGTTTGTGGTCTATCACAGGAGTCACCTGCAAGGCAAAGATTTCTGGAACACACAGTGCCCCTTCTCCTCCTGTTGGGAGAAGATGCCACATAAGCCAGCTCTTAGCTATGTCTGACTGAAATGCAGTGTATTTATTTCACTGTTCCTTGCTGTTTCTCCTATCTGACCCTCAGCTGTCCTCACTCACCTGCCAAAATCTCTAGCTTCAGACCCTGACTGCTTCTCAGAGCAAGTCATTCATTGTCGGTACACCTCCCCAGCCTCCTGGGAAGGTGCAGTTAATGACACTATTTGTACACAAAGTCTTCCCATTTTGACCGTGTGACTGCAGCCAGGACTCAGTGGTTGTATAATCCCACCCTGAGCGGCTGCACTGCCGCTGAGTCCTCTGCTGGACTGAGTTTGGCAATGGGTGAAATAATCCTTTGTGGTACTAGCTCAGCAAAAGATAGAGGCATGCACTTACAGCCCACAGACATCAATGGGCCTGCTAATAGGCTTTAAGTTAATGAGATAGATAAGTGCTTGCAGATTCTATGCTTTACTTAAAAAACAATTTTGCAATCCTTTAATCTCAAAAGTTGAGATAATGTATTACTTTATGCTTTTGTAATAGGATAATATGTTTATTTTCATTCCTATTTATATTACTTCTACTGCTGCTTTTCAGCTGCAGAAAACATAAATGGTATTATTTTGGATTTACTTTGTTAGGAATACTTTAACTCTTTGATAATACTATTTTTCCCCTAGGCATGGCAGCATCTACTCCAAGTTCAGCATTAGATCCCATTAACACTAGCAATAGCTCTCCGTCTATAAGCAAATCAAGTCTCTTGTCCATAACTAACCAATCTACAGATGCTGGGTGCTGTAAGTAACCTTGGATTTGAATGAATATTGTCTTACTTTTAATTCAGCCCCTCTTTGATCCCTTTTTCCTGGGGCTGGCTGAGTGACAGGAGGGTGTTCACAGAAGCTGTTAATAGTTTTGGAGTGAATCGCCACCTATGGAAATGAAAGAAAGAGGCTTCCCCAATGGGACATTCAGACTGGGGGCTGTGGTGCTGTGAAGTGACCACTGGAGAAACCCCACTGTTATCCCCATGGCTACTGAAGGGAACTGGCCTTCTGGAAGTGGAGGTGGCCACAGTGGGCTTCTTGAGCCACTTGTGAGCCATTCAAGTGCAGGTCCCATCACATGGCTTGTGCTGGATGATCCTCCAGCACAAGAAGCATGCCAGTGAGCGCTGTGTGAGGCCAGCACCACTCACTCACCCTGGACTCAGCTCACTGCATGTCCTAGGCTTGTCCTGGAACAAGGTATGAGAGGATCTGCTACCAACCACCGGAGCTCCTCCTCCACCACAGCCACTGGGGGATGCTTTCGAGTCCATGAAGATGTTTGTTGGTGGGAGACATGAGTCAGGGAGGTTGGCCACAGCTACCCTGCACTGGAGTTAGCCTTTGTGAATACTCTCCCTGCAATACATTAGAGCTGTCTGAGGGACTATGATGGGAACAAACCCATTTGTCTTGATATGGGTGACTTTCAGGCAAGAGTTACCACAATCCTTTTAACAACATCCTGCTCTCCTTGTGGGAGGAAATAGCTTTAAGTAGTTCTTTGCCTAGCTCAGAGAGACAGACTGGATATTCTTCATCTTCATCCACAGCTGCTGATCCAAGGTGAAGCTAGAGGAATTAAACTGCAGTCCCTCTAGTGCAAGGGGCGGTTTGGCTTTGGGGGTATTTGGCAGCCACCTGGCTCAGAGTCCTGGAAACAATTATGTCCTATTGAAACAATTTAAGAAGACAAACTTTCTTCTCAGGCTAACCATTAGCATGAAAGAATTGAAGTTGTGGCAGCAGCATGCCATGGTCTCTAGGTTAGCGTGGGGGATGATGTTCATCTCACCTGACCCCAGCTATCTACAGGAGAGTTGTCTAGTCTGGGCTCTCTCTCTAGTTAGTGGAGACAGACAGGCTCTGCTGGAGGGCAATTCATCCTACCCAGTTTAGACACCTCCTCCTCCTCCTCCTCCTTTGAGGAGAGAAATCATCTCTGAAGGGTCCTGTCTTTTCCCGTTGACATGACAATGATTGCACTGGAGTAGAGTGGCATAAATAGGTGAAATGCTGCCCACCACTCTGCCCCCAGCCTCTATAGGCTGCGGTCTGTGGGGTTTTTCCAGGCAGAAATCAAGGCAGCCTTTGCATGAAGAGGTGCATTTTGGTGATTAAAGTGACAAGTGGCAAAGCAGGTGTCAATGTATGTAGAGTACACAGATCCACTATTCCAAACTTACTCCTGCTGCTTGAACCTGTAGCTCACTGTTTGATTATTAGTGTTACTAGACATTCAACACAAATATGTATAGTAAAAGGAAATAAAAAGAGTAAGCACCCAATTAATCAGTCTAGTGGAATGGTTCATGGATGGGGGGACCTGGTAGTGTGAGAGGGGCAGATTCTGTCCTGACATAAGGTAAAGAGGAGCTTCCCCTATTGATTGTCAAAGTGCTTGTCTATAATAGATTTAGAATAGCACAATGCTTTACAGACGTAATGTTGCTTTTTCTGTGATGACTTTTCCTGGGACTGCAATAGCTCCTTCTGCGGTTAGAAATCACCGAATCTTCAGTGTTACCAGCAACAGTTTTGAAATGTCCTGGCATGTCGCTTCTACTCTGAACCATACTTTCCAAGTCCAAGTGTTCAAGGGCAAAGAGATTGTACAAAACCTGAAGACAGAGGAAATGAAAATGGATGTGTCTCAGCTGGAGGCAGGTGTGCTCTATTCAGTAGAGATCAGCTATGAAACCTGTGGAAAAACCAGCATCTCCCGTCAAAATGTCAAAACAGGTAAATAGCCACTTTAAAATATATATACATTCTCTTTCTCTCTCTCCGCTCTCTCTCTCCATTCACTCACAGTTCACCAGTGATCCATTTGGTCCTCCCTGAACTCCATTTCCCACCTCCTTCAGCACTTTTTCTTTCCTCTGCCCCAGCATTTATGCAACCCAGATTGTCAGGCAGCAGAGCTCTGGCCTTAGCTGATAAAGCAGTGCTGGAGCTGACTCAGACTATCACAGATATCAGGCTAAGCTAGAATACTGTTTTGTTTGGGGGTTTTTTGTGCCTGGCACTGCATTCTGCTGCCATCCATCTCCCATCAAGCCCCATTTTTCCTGGTTGATGGCTGTGGCTATTGAAAAATCCAGTCAACTGGTTTGTCAAGGGCTCAGCTGAGCTAACAAGAGTGCCCAGGGGAAGGCCGGATTCAGGTGAATATTTGCGAGTGACCAGGATTAAAGGGAATAACAAGGGCTGTGTAAGAAAGCTTGCAGAATACCTGCATAATTTTGTTCAATTAGCTAGGGATGCTAGCTCCCTGTGACCCTAGTGGGTTGATCAAACATAATTTTGCTTTTCCATTATCCTTAAATTATTTCCTAAGCCTTCATGCAAATAAAGAAATCAATCTCTCCCCATTTTCTTCAAAAAGCAGGCAGTGAACTATTTAATACTGGCCACAGTGAGAATGCTGCTGTTTATGTTTAGCCGTAAGAGCCTTCCCTTTGATCAGACGAAGGATGACTCCAGTTTGGGTCAGAAGGAAATTACTCCCTTTGTAGCAGGAAAGTAGGAGATCTAGTGGTTATGGAAAGAGGGGGCTGAACTTCAGATTATAAAGTTGGAGCCCTTGAGAAAAAGAAAAGTTTTCCAAAGGTCAGTCCAAAGAGTAACAACCTCAGATTGTTTATACAGGTTAAAGTGGTTATAGATTCTTTGGCTCTTGGTTTTGGCTCACATGCTCTGTACATTATCTGTCAGGGCTTACCAGACACAGAAGTGGCATGCACTGGTTTTTGTTATTATTTTCAGTTTAAGAATATATTTACTATCCATGCTACCAAGATCAGGAAAAAAATAATAATTGTGACTGGTGGACCAGAGATGAGCTCACAGGTGATTCAACCCTGGTGTAACTCAAATGCAGGAGTTATGTAGGGTCAGGTCCACAAGGATATGTGTATACCCAGTTCTCATGCAGTTGTAATCAAGCACCGAAATATCTTTATTGTCCTGATGTAAGTGCATCTCCTCAATGTATAGGAAGCTTGTAGCAGAATATTGGCTTTATTTTCTTGGTTTAATACCAAACTCTCTCAACCTTTTCCTCCTTCTCCCTCCATCATCTGAGATTTTGGTCTGGGTACATCATTTTTGACTGAATCCTTTCCTCTTCCACTTTGTCATTGTGTATTTTAATATTGTGTCCTACAGAGGCCAAGATATTTGGTGTTACTGCAAGAATTCTCAACTACAACTTCACTGATGATTTCCATAATGCCAGCAGCTCAGCTTATGAAGAATTTTCAAGACTGTTGCTTACAGAGGTAACGCTAAAATATCTGTGGATAATATTTTTTTTTTAATTAAGATTTATTAAATGTAATGGAGGATTTTATGCCTGGCTGAAATATCCCTTGAAAATCATCATACTGTTTCCTGTGACCTTTCTTAATAATTAAAACAAAATTCAATTGACTAGACACATCAAGCCCTTGGCCTTATTAGCAATGGAGCCAATGAGAATTTTCCCCTACAGAAGAGCAAAGGAATTAAAAATGCAGGCATGCAACAGGGACTCCATTCCTTGGATCTTTAGTTTGGCAATAAACTCACACTGAATTGACTTCAGGCTTTTTAATGGATTATTGAAATGACATTGCTGGCATTCATTTCAGCACTGTCTTCTCAATAAATGTCTGACTGCTCTCAGAGCTCGCTCTTCTTTAAGGAAAAGTGACTGGGTGAGGCTTTCTTCTCCAGCCTCATTCATTGCATGATGCACACATATAGCCACTGTCCATGCTCAGGTGTAATCAGCCATAAACAAAACTTGAGTCATGAAGTCTATTACCAGCTCTCAGCTTCCCAAACAGGGGGAACATTTCAGATGCTGCAATATCTCACAGTTTTGCTGTAGAGAGCAGGGCCCATACAAAAGAATTGGGATCTCCATCCAAAATGAGACTTTCCCAAAACAAGGGGGGACTCATAAACATATGTGAATATAAAGCCAAGGAAAAAAAAATAATAATGGAGCTATACCTTCAAAGGCAGCACAGAAGAGGCATTTGCTCATGAGAAATAGCAAGTTAAACTTCCTGACATGGTTTTATTTCCAATAGGTGCAAATTCCTGCTTTTGTTGTGCAGAAGGACTTTTGTCAGTGAATCTTCTCTGAGACTAATGCAGACCTAACTGGCATCATGAGGCTGGGAAGGAAAAGGAGCATTGCCCATTTGTGTTGCTTCTGCATCCTTGGGTGTTTGGGAGCACAACATCCCCCTCTCACTTCCTCTCTCCTCTCTTTTTCTTGCCTCCTCACCCTGATCTGAACTTAGACTAGTTAAACAGCTTATTTATAGGAATTTTTGGAGCAAACTCTGGCTGAACATGAGGAAAGTTGTGTTGATTTATGGTGCTGCACTGCGTGCTTAGAGGCATGTTTTGAGGTGGATGTAGGAGCAAAAGGCTCAAGCACGGAGGTGCCTTCTATAGATGTAAGGTGAAACTGCCAACTCCTGCACAGCTCAAATATTGAACATCAGTATGCCAGCTTTAATGTTCAGAGTAACACCGTTTGTTCAACCGATGTGTCTACTTACCGGATTGGTAATCAACCATGGCGCAATTGTGATATTGCCTTGAAACTGGGCTGTCTCAAACACATTTTCTTGAAGTCACCCATCCCCAATTTTCTTGTCTCATCCTGAGATTTCTTTGTCATTGGACTCAGCTGCAGGCTGCACTTGGACTGGTGAGTTTCAAATAATTGCTGGGAGCTAAAGCTATGCCCATACTCGCAAATGAAACATTTCCCAAATCATTCTCTGGCACTGACACCAACTGGCACAAACCATCCTGTACCCATGTGGCTGGGTCTTCCAAAGTACGGTGGTCACATTCAGATTGCCTATTGGGACTGGCCCCTGGCTGATGCTAAGTCTGCCTGGGTACTGCCTGGGGGACTGCTAGCTGCTAGTAGTCAAAATCAAACCAGAGTCTGCTCCAGCAACAGTGGAGTTGACCAAGTTCCACTGTCTGGGAGTGCAGAGGTGAATATATAAGAGGCTTGGGACAAAAAGCTTATGTGACATACACAGCTAACATCAAGGGTCTGATGCATGCAGACTTACTGGGCCAGTTCAGCTCTGATGCAGGCAAACAGGGGCAGAAGGAATTTTGATCTCTTGAGCCAAAATGAAATTTGGTTTGTAAGACCAGTGGTCAGATGGGTACAATTTTTACAGGTACCTAGCTGCACCAAGGAGACTTACACTTCTCTGTGCCTCAAAAATCTCTGAAAAGTAAGATTTCTGAAACACTTTGAAACTTTTCTTTTTACAACATTTTCTATGTTGTGCATATATAAATCTTTAAAATGGTACCGCCATAGTTCAGTTTTAAAAGGAGCTATTCTTGTTGGGTTCCTAACTGTCAATGCTTCTCTCCCTTCGCTCAGCTTGAAAATTCATTTCCACCTAACATTTCTGCTTTATACAAATCTGGGAAGCTGAAAGTGCAGACTGAATCCCTGCAAGCTGGAAGCATCATTGTGAGGCTCAGAATCACTGTGCAGGATCCCGAGTTTCCAGTTGATGCCTCTACATTTGACCCAGTGCTTTCTTACCTGCACAATGGCTCTGTGCTTTTGGTGGATCAGCAGAACACTGCAGTGGAAGGTAATTTTTATTATTTTTTTTCAAACAAGAACACAGCATTTGTGTTCTGATCACACACAGTATTACCAGCATTCTTCACAAAAGGTACTTTATAGAGAGACCAAGTATGTGGTTTGTTGGAGGGAAAAACCATGACTTAAGAACTCCTCCATGGGCTTTTATCCATAAGCCCAGAAGGGATTGGACGAAGGAGCATTGGCTGTTCCCAGGTACCTACAGGAACAGCTTCCCTCCACTGTGTTTAAGGAGGAGTGGAGCCCTTGGTTTCCCTATTAATTTTCCTCCCTCTCCTCTTTGTGAGAATTTGGAAGTTTGCCATATCTTTCTTGAATTGAATTGCAGATGGGGTTACTGTGGAATATTTGTAGCCTTTGGGTACACGTGCCCTCTAAACAGTTTTGTGCTTCAAGGCTGTGGGGCTGCGTTTGGCCCAGGGTTTAAAAAAAGAAATCTAACATCGTCACTACAGAAATCCAGCCAGAGAAGTTCCCAAGGGTCCTCTCAGTGAAAAGGACTAAAGAAACACGCATGGACTTTATGTTAAACTAGGCCTTTGTTTGATCTTCAGTAATCACCATTTTTATCTTCAAAGGTCTAAGTTCTGGCTTCAGGTTTCCCAGCTGGCAGAGCCAGTTAGTGTTCAGAAAGTTGCCAAAGCCGACAGAATGGGTTATTCTCTTCTAGTGTATTGAGCCCTTAAAAGCTCATTTGCTGTGATCAGGGAAAACTCCCTTTGGAGTTGTGAAGCATATGGAGGTTAAGGAGAACAGGACAGGAAAAAAGCCAGGAAAGACAAATTGCACCTGAAGCCTACAAATGTCACAGTGGTAGCAGATACTGACTTGCAAGATGCTGATGGGTCTTGCCAAAATACTTTACAAATACTTTACAAATGTTATTGATCCTGGGACCGAAAGGGTGGGGAGGAAGAAGGCAATAGCTCTGGACTGTTACTTTAATAGCAGAAAACCAGGTGGCTTCCAGTAGCACCACTCTTAGCCAGGAGCACAGCCAACTCCTCCTTAGGAGTAGAGCAAAGGGGTCTATTTCTTAGCTCTGCCCAAACAAGCATTTGTTTGACACAAGTTTCCTAGAGTCAAATGTGGAAAATAAGGCAGAGGAGTGAAGCACATGAAGAAGAGATTTGTATAATGGGCTGTTTTGCTTCCTGGCCCCTGAGAGACCTGGGACATGCCCTTTGACAGTAAGCCTGCACAGATCCTCTTGCACCAGTGGAGCAATGCCACCTGGATCCTCTGTGGAGCCTGGCCACCAAAAGGCTAGGTGCTTGGTTTAGTGACAGTGGCAGAGCAGGGAATTCAACTTTGAAACAGCAACGGTGACGAGTCAGAAGGAATAGAACAACTGAAGGGAGTGGAACAATTGCATCTCTCTTTGAAGATTCATAAATTATTAAGTTCTAGAATGGGACTTTGTTTCAGAGAAATAATCACAGTGATTAATGTCTGCATGTTTTCAGAACAAGCACTTACGATAATGCATTGTTCAAAACAATTTTCTAGCCTCTGATCAGAATTATTTGTCCCAAGACGCAGTTTTCAGTCTAGTTTTCAGCTCTCCCTCACTTACGGCCCTGAGGCAGTGAAGGTGTATGCACAAGGGAGTGCACACAGGGAGGGTTCACATGGGATTCACCAAGATTATTCGTGTCCAAAGCATTAGCTCAGCCTTTGCATATTTGCTGGAACAGGGTGTGAACGGTAATATAAGACACCCGATCTAAATCCCTCAAGACTGAAGAGACTTGGCAATAAAATAGGTCTATAACTCCATGAAAGAAGCATCTCTAATTGATTCAGAGGAGCTGAAGTTAGACATAAGGAACACCCTTAGAGCATATTAATGCATTGATGAACCAGGATCTCTTTTCTGACACTACCAGAAAGGGGGTCATAGTTTTACAGTATTACCTTTGAGAAGAAATCTTTTATAAAAAGAGTTTTTGCCCTTAGCACTTCCTCTGTTAAGAACTGAAGAGTCCTTCCCGTGGGAGTTACTTGCATTTACCTTTTATTTGAAGCAGAAGATTATTTGGATTAAGTCTCTATTTAATATTCTATCTACTGGTAGCTAGTGGTAACAGATCTATTCATTACCTGATGTATCTGGAGGTACTGTGTGCAGAACTTGGTATAATATATGCTTTTGATATAGCTATAGTACAGACATACAATATTTTTTTCACTTCAAGTGTTTACTTCTAAAAAAAATTATTAAAAAAATCTTTACCTGGAGAAAATACTTTTCAGAGTACAAGGGCAAAGGTTGATTTTTTCTGTGAGAGAATAACAACACAGATAGCGTTCTGCATCACTCAGAGCTTGGCTGTCAGATAAATGATGAAAAAAGACCACATTCATAAGTTCAAAAACTGAAGAAAGGACTACTTTATGATTGTTTCTAGTTTAATGCAGCCAGAATGGAGGCTATCTGACTGATGTTCTGGTTTTGGTCTTACAGACTGGGATGAATGTGCTTCTCATGCTGAGAATGACTGCTCTGTGTTTGCTGAGTGTATCAATTTGATGGGCTCGTACCTGTGCAGATGCAAGACAACCATGGATACCAATCCATCCCGACCTGGAAGAAACTGTGAGGGTGAGCAAAAGACTGGCATGTAGTTTCCTGTTGCCATGAAAGGTTGGAATAAACTGTGGGTTTTTACCTCTGCTTTTATTGCACCTGTTTATATAGCAAACAATGTATATATAGACGCACCTTTGTAGTACATGAGGTGTACTTTCTCCTCTTTTGGTATGTCTGGGGCTAATTTCCTCCCACTGTAATGATCCATGGCCTGAGAACCAGAAAAGGAGACCCAGGAATCAAATATGCTTCTTTGTATAGGCATAAACCAGATTCAGCACCATAAAAATCATGTGTTAATGAAATATCCAAGACATGTCTCTGTAATGCTATTACGCGTGGCTGAGTGGTCTCAGTCCCATTTTCAGGCCAGACCCTGGTGCCTCCTCACCCACTTTGAGGTCCCATTTCAATGTGTGTTTGCTGCGTTGCAGGTGAGATTGTGGACCCTCTCACCGAAACGGTGGCTCCTGAAATAACAAACAGCACAGAGTTTTCTGCTGAAGAAGTAAGCCCTGCAGGCCCTGCTTCCCCTGCCACCACCAAGATGGCGGCTGCTGTAGGCTCCAAGATGAGCACCGCCGAGCACCTCCCTGCTGCACCGACCCTGGGTGACCAGCAAGCACCCCACGGTCATTCTCCCACCAGCGCTCCTCCAGCCCCTTGGAAAAAAGGCCTGGCACCACAGGCGGGCTTCCTCGGGGACCACAGCCCCACGGCCACGGGGGTCTCAGCCAGCAAGGAACTGGCCATCAGCGCAGAGCGACAGGCGGCCGTAAATCCATCGCAGCAAAGCTCGGCGGCAGAGGCTTCCCCCGGTGCACTGCAGAGAGCGGCTGCTCTCACAAGTGGGCCCACGGGCACGGCCGGGCAAGACCAACTCAGTTCGCCATTGCTGGTGTTTCCAAACCAAACAGCCTCTGCTACCACCAGAAGTCACACAGCTTTTGGTGTGCCTGAAGCCGACTCTCAAGGTGGCCCTGGTAGAGCTCTGCCGGCCGCGGGGGATGCTGGCGTTCCCACCCTCAATGTCACTCTTAGAGAGCACGTAGAGATGGGAAGGGAGAACAGCTCTTGGTCTGAGAAATACACTGGAGCCCTGGGGTCACCAGCTTTGCCAGGAGTCTCTCCAGCTCCCAGCCTGACGCCAGGCCCAGCCACGGACCGCAGTGAGTATGCGTTCGGCCGGGGCCTGCACGCGTGGTAATTCGGCCACACGAGAAGCAAACCTCACTCGGAGTTGGGAAAGATACACAGTTGGAATCAGTGGTCTGGGATGAAGGCATCTGAAACTAGTTTTTCTGTGTCAAAACTATTTTCTTGCAGGAATTGGCACTTTTTTCCTAAATCAGCATGTCAAAATAATTTCTCTTCCTGGTAATTTGGCAGTTAGCTTTGTCGATGTTACATTTCTTCGTCTCAAATCACGCAGTGCACTGAGCGTGGCTCATCGAAACATATGCTGCTTGTCCCTTTGCCACTCGTCTTGGTTTCTCCTGCATGCTCTGGCACCAGGGTACTGCAGCAGCAGCAGTCGCCTATGGAATTACTTGAAAGGCCTGGGAAGGCAAACGACCTGCCTTCCTCTTCCTCTCAGCGGAGGGTGGATTAGGCACAGCCCCGCAAATCCCCTGTGGGGCAGGAGCTGTGTGGAAACCTGTAAGCCACTTTTTCAAGGGCTGTAATTGAGAATAACTAGGCTGGCAGGGAGTGCTTAATCTGTTTGGGTTTGGGCAGATGTATTTGAGCTAATTGGGGATTTTTCTATTGATTGGAGCTGAATCATATTTCAAGGTTAGAATCAGATTTGGTCTTTAAATTATGGTTTTGTTTGGGATATGAATGCTACTGTCTCTGCCCATCACTGAATGTATTTTTCTTTAGTGTGTTAGTAGGTGATACCTATTTCAGTTTTGTTTCTGCTTGTCTTTATTGTGCCTCTCATGCCGTCCATATCTCTCCAATCCCAAACTGCGCTCCCCTCTGCTCTTTTCTCTTCCCCTCCTCTATGGTCTCCCATTCCTGGGGGGGTCTCCTCTCATCCAGCCCCACTTCTTGTTCTCCCTCATTCCTTTCTCCCTGGTAAACCTCTTTTTCAGCTGTGTAAGGCCAGCTCTGCTGCTTCTCCAGCCTCTCTTGTACCACCAGTCCTGATCACCAGTGCCACAGTGTCCACTTCTCCAGTCCTGCTAAGCTCTGGGCTGCCATGCTGATGCCCCTGTTCAGCTTTTGTCTTCTCTCTTCTTCATGTTGTGTCCTTAGCTCTTTCTGGCATGGGTGAGACCTGGGAACAGAGCTGGGCAAATAACTGATTTGGGACCTTGGTGGCCAAATGGAGGAAAAAAATAACTTTGGACCGAACAACATGTTGACCTGAATGAAAAAGCTCCATTTACTGCTTTGCTTTGTGTTCCCCATACCCCCTTTCAATGCAGGGAAGAGTTAAAAAAATGTGGGTTTTGTTTGTTTTTTTTTTTTTTTTTTTTTAAATTAAAACAGAAAATGTTCATTTAAAAAAAAAAATCAAAATAGCTAATTTTAACTGACAAAAATAGCAAAGGTCGTTTTCTTCCAGCTGGAAAACAAATTGAAGAATTCTACACAAACAAGTTCAGTTTATACAAGCTTGTTTTTTTCTCCTGATGAATCAAATATTCAGCCAAGTGCTTTTGCTGGGAAAGAAGCTTGTGAAGGGATTATGCCTGGGGAACAAGAGGAAGAGCCACCAAAGTGGTATCTCACTAGACCGGAGTAGGAAATTCAGAGGGCAAAAATCCGTGTTTGGTGAAGTTTAATATATAGCTCCTCCTTGCGGCAACGTCTCTGACCTGGAGGGTCAGCCTCAGCCAACTCTTCATCGCCTGTCATGTCTTTTAAATACTGATTTTTTTTTTGTTTGCTTGAAAATTGTTCAGAACATTTTCCCCTCTCACCATCAGATAACTGAATGTGGTTTATCTCCTAAGTACCTAGGCTCACGTGACAGGAGAACCCATAGCAAAAAGCAAGCCCAAATCCTTTGATCTGACTGGTGGTGGTGAGGGTTCCTTTGGGATCACAAGTATGCTGGGATAAAGGAAGCCTGCTTTGGTGGCTTGCTTTAAGTGGGCACGACTTTCTCCATTCCCTTCCAAAGCTTTACTTGATGACTATTTCTTTTCCTCTACTATCTGTCCCATTTCAAAAGATTATTATCCCCAATATGATTAGAACCAACTTTGACGTAACATGGTCCACAGAGTTTATGCAGAGCCCTGCTTTTCAATTCTTGCTGCTTCAGAAAAAGCAGCTAATATGGGAGGCTAAAACTCAGTATAGGAGTCTGACAGTCTCAGAGCTGGAACCTGGTGCCTTATATACTGTTGAAATCAGGACAGATGTGTGTAAGGAGGAAAGCAAGCTGATACACCAGAAAGTAAAGACTGGTAACTTGATTCAGAAACAATTTTAAACTGAAGCCTTAGCCAGATGATAGGGCTCTTGAAGTCTTTGGTGAAGACTATCCTATATTTATATAAAACTTTGAAACACCAGATCTTGGTATGCTAGGAGTGATGTTCTGTTAGCAGCTGGAAGGCAGCGTGAAGACAACTGGCTGGCAATGGTCACAGTATAGGGTGGTGGCAGTCAGGTTGCCTGGCTAGGCACTAAAAGGATGCTAGGGGTATGAATCATGTCTTGAGAAGCTCTTTCTCTCCTGCTTGTGATCACCTTCAGTGTCTGTAGTAACAATGTCAAAACCAGTGATTTTGAGAAATAACTTAAGACATTTGAGACTACCTTAATATGATTCAGCAGATACAACTTCAGGGCGGAAGCGTACACCCTGTTGGGGTTCATCTTATCTTACAATAGCTGTCTAAAATGTAGATGTTTAATCTCAGGCAGCTGTCTAGCCTTCCTCTGAGGGTGGAGGGAGGACCTTGGTGCTGCAGTGATTTGCCCTCTGGAGGCACTGGTGTCACCTCATTGCGTGTAGAGGGAGCTGGGACAGCTAGCTGAGTCTAGGAGAGCAATTCAGGTGCCTGAACATAGCCATGGAGCAATATTTCAGATGCCCTGGAGCATCCAAGACAGAGCTGGCAGATATAAGACCTACAGGAGGTCAGTGCCCTTATGAGAATCATCTAGGGGTCAGAGAGGGCAGACTAAGGTGCTGGATGCCTATGTTTAGGCATTTGGGGTTTTGGCTACATTTCAGAGGGCTGGCTTTCTGCTGTTTTGAGTTGATGCACACTCCATGTGGCCAGACATGCTGGTGACTGTCACACACTTGTCCATGGACTACAGTCCACAGAACACGCATTTAAATTGTCTTCTTCTTACTTTGCAGCTGTCCAGAAACTTAGTGGCACAGTACGGATAACAAATGTGAAATACTCCCTGGGCTTTAGCAATACGAGCAGTGAGGAATACCAAACCTTTGCACAGCTCTTTCTTGATGAAGTAAGTGGCTAAGAAGGACATGACCTGTTACCAGACTCAATGAAACCACGTGTATGATCTTTTTCCCATGAAGGCTGTACGCCACATGTGCGCCCCTTGACCCATCTGTAAGGTCTGAGTTCCCCTGGCTGTCTGAGACTGCAGGATGAGGGTGCAGCTGTGGTTTAGAGTGAGATCAGGATTTGGGGATTCTCTGGTACCTCCATTTCTTCTGCTTCTCATACCTGGTTATACTGGCTTATTGTTTTCCTCCAACGGTGTGGTGGAAAGTTAATGGATATTTGCAAAGCGCTCTGATATCCTTGCCCTGCACAGCAGTATACTAATAAACCATGATTGTTATTACCCTTTGTGATAGTACCTTAAGGCTGACATTTCTTATAGTTATCCTTGGTTTTGTAGCCCTGTATCTGGAAAGGGAGTGGTTTCTTGATAAGTCACCTCTGCCCTCACTTCTAATTAGAGCACAGGGTATCAAAGCACACTGTAATATCAGTTGTGCCTTTAATGCTCTCATAATTCTCAGGCATCGCCTTTGACAGTATCACTCTTCTAATTTCTTAGTTGATTTATCAGAAGTTTGTTCCTGCTGGTGTTTCCTCAAACACAGCTGTGCTTGGAAAAAGGCTGGTTATGCTGGGCTGCTTTATTGCCTTTCTTATCTCCCCTTAACTGTCTGTGTTGTTAGAGGCCTTGAAAACTATGATGATAAATCCATTGCTGACAATCGTATGAATTTTCAAATCCTGCAGAGGCCTCCCCAGCCTCTCACCATGTACAGAGTTACAACCTGTCACCAAAATACAGCTGTCCGCAGCAGATGCAGTGACAGCAGCGTGTGTTTGGGCAGAGGTCGGGCCAGCGTGGGGTTAGAGACGACTGCAAGGAGGGAAAAGCGTGATCCCTTTAGCTGTGCATGATGTTTTCTTGGATATCGAATAAGTTTCCCACTGGTTGTTACCGGTTTGCACCTTTCTGGATGTGTTAGCAGAGCACAGCTTCCTTAGACTTGTTTTGGCCCCAAGCTGTCACATCAGAAAAACAGTCACAAAATGAGAGTGACGTGGTTAGCAAAGTGAAAGGGGAGCAATTCTCCACTGACCTCACTCTCATTCAGCATCACTTTCTGCCTGAGGCTATTTTGGAATAGCATACTATTAAAATGGACTAAAATGAATATATTTTCTTCATTCAGTCAGATACCTTAGTTCAGAAAATCATGGATACAAATGTATTTGGAAAATTTATAAAACGATTGCATAAAGCAACTACAGCAAGTTTTGCGTCAGTTTTACCCGGTTCTCAAAGTTTCAGGCAGAAAACAGTCACTTACGATTATAAGGAACTAACTCCTTTTTCCAGCGCACTGGTTTTGTGGATCAGCTGGCGAGATGTGTTAGTGTTGATTCCATCTGCCGCTGAGCCACTGTATATAGGCTACTGCATATGGCAAAATATATTGTCTTTTAATATAAGCATTGTGTTTCTAGATGCCAAAGAAAAGGAAGTTTAAGAAAATAGAAAGATCTGCATATATACTTTTCAGGTCATAAGGGCCAGAAATTGATGCTTTAAAGTAAGTGAGGAAAGTTTCATGGACTTTAAAACCACTACCAGGTTCCAGTTAAATAAACTTTGCCAGAGATTTTGTTTTAAACCTCTCTGGAGTCACCATCTACAATTCAGAGGATTTATAAATCCTAATATGTATAATGCTCTTTAGCATAGAGCTGCCCCAGCGCTTAAATGCCATGTGGTTAAATTGGCAGCACAGCAAATGGAAATACTGTCCGTTAAATAATATGTAGATAAGAATGAGGTAAAAACTTGATGTGACAACTTGCATTGTCATTGTCCAGACTAGTTTCACCATCCTCCTTGCAATGTAACTGAAAAACAACACAGCTAAGGGCAAGAGAGTATTTTAGTCTTCTTGGGTTTTGCTCAGTCTGTCTTTTGCAAGAGCGAATAAGAATATCATGACAGCTAGGGCTTGTCCTCAAGAAAATGAATCAGGAAAACAAAAGGTTTGAATTGAAAATGCATTCACTGAGGTGCATTAAATTCCTGAGGGGAAAGGTTGTTTTGAATTTGGGTGTCTTAAACTTAACTGAGTGACAAAAAGTGTGAAACTGATAAATGATACTGCCTTATCAAGGTGACCCCCTCATTTGGAAGTGACATAGCCTTTGTTTGATGTAGCTTAATGCACTTAAAATGATAGCAGTTAAAGCTATCTGAATGTGGAATGAGTGTTGATACAGGGATTAAGGCAGTTTCTTATTCCAGTGTAATTTTACCCCTTTTGTTAATTTGAGTTTATCCGCAATTTGGGACACGCTTAAAGCTGCTGGTAGTGGTGGCTGGGCAGATATGTGCTCTAGTACCTTCTCTCTGAAGGTGCAGCCAAAGCACAGACAGTGAGGAGGTTTTTTTTTTCTCTTTGAGTGAAAAAACAGGCTTCATGCAGGATTGTTCAAATTAATGTACCTTTTACTTACTTATTGCCAGTTTCCAGACCACCAGTGCATTCCCTGCTCTGCCGGCCATGCAGGCTTCTGTGCAGGTACCCACAATAGCTCCAAAGAGCTGCTGACATTTTGCCTAGGACCTAGGGATGGGTGGTCCCAGAAAACCCACCAAACATGCCACAGCCATCCGTGGGGTGAGCCTGGCTGCCTGGGTCTGCCACTTTCCTTTTGCTCAAAAAACCTATTGGCCTTTTCCGTCCTGTTAAATTGGTTTTAGTGTGGCTTCCATCTGGCCGTGACTTTATTTGCCTCCTGTTTTTCTTGCCTGAGCAAGGGAAATTCCTTTCCCTCGTTGCTGGTGTTAATTTTGCTCATGTTCTCTCTTTTTCTCATGGCTCTTCTTCTGGCATACTGATTTCTCCTGGTCTGGCATTGCTCATGTTTCCTTTGTGTGCTACAGAAATTGTAGATACAATGATGGATCCCAAGATAATTTATTTGCCTAGTAAGAAAACCTTATACTCAAGGGTATTAGATATTGAATAAAAGTTCAGTCTTTCTTCTCCTTTTTTTCTAGCCCCAGTTCATCAACCATTATTTTGGTAACCTAGGGTGTGGTACCTGTTGTGAAATCATGTAGCCTTCTGGATAAAGGGTTTTGTAGTGTCACCTAGTGGCTAAATACAAATACCATGAATGTCCCTTGACACTTTTCAAGCTCCGAGTCCTGCTTTGCAAGGAAAAATACAAATAAGGATGGAAACAAAATAAACAAACAAAAAACAGACAAAAAAAAATTCCCAAGCCTTAGGTAAAAAGAAGCACCTATAAAATAAAACCTTCAGGTTAGATGAGAAGGAAATACAGGTGAAATCGGAGATGGGCTGGGAGGATGTCCCAGGTGTGCATATTTAATGTGCAGAAGTTCAGACAGAAACTATGAAAGATGAAAACTTAGGGCTGACCTCCAACTTTTCAGTACATGCTTGCGAAACAGCAGAAAGACAGAGGAGAAGGGGGCCAAAATCCCCCTGGCTTGGTGAGATGGGAGATTTGGGAGCTGACAAGGACAGCCTACGGTCTGCCCAGGCTTTCGTAGGGAAGTTAGCTCTTTCCATCCTCCCGGCTCTGCCTGCGTGCCCCATGAGGCACTGCAAGGTTTGCTGTGTGGGACTTCCAGGCATGTGGGAGCCCTTTCCAGCTGCATGCAGGGGGTTTGCTCTGTGCAATGTTACCTTGCCACTGAGTGCATGCAACACACATCAGCTCTGACGACTCAGAAAAGGTGCAGTGTGCCTGCAAAATCTGGGGCTGTCTGCGGGGCTGGATACTACATAGCGGGCAAGTAAGTCAGGGCTGGATAACACACAGCAGGCAGGTAAGTCAGGCTTGGCACACAGGTGTGCAAAAGCTGTGATCACCTAGGAGAATCCAGCACAAAATACACCAGCTCTGTGTGTGGGTGCAAGAGAAACAAGGCTGCTTCTCCTGTTGGCTCCCACCGCTGACCCTTGCCTTGCCTCTTCCCTAGGCTTTCCCTGGTAGGAGTCACTGCCTGCAGCCCTGAGCGTTACACTACTGACATAAGCTCTGCCTTAAACTCATGGCTGAAATCCAGCCCTGCTGCTCCAGATATTTCCTGCAGAAGACGTGTAGGGGAAGAAAGGGTTGGAGGTGACTGCAGTGTAGCCTCCACCTGCCCCCTTAATTCTCTGGAAATTTGAGCTAGGGAAGGAAGTGAGTGATGTACCCTAAAGAGAGGGCCTAAAGCAAAGCGAGGTGCTGGGAAAGAGGAGTGACTCTCCTGTGCAGGGCAGCTATGTCTCAGCTCTCTCCTGGGCCAAGTGTGGCTCGTCTGGCCCTTACGATGTGGTTGCTCTGCTGCTCTGTGCCTTTCTCTTTGCTGGTACCTCCTGGGAGCCTGACAGCCATAGAAGGGTAAAAGCAAAGAGCAAGTATGCAGAGAAATCACAAAAATTTAGGTGTTTCTATGGCTGTTTCCATCTCTCTGTGTCCTGCATTGAAGCTAGTGGCTGCTAAGTACAAGACAGCTCTGTGTATCCCAGGCTCAGGAGGGTTAACAGAGATGGCATGGGGTTTGTCCTTCACATGCTACTGGGAGCTGCTCTTCTACTGTGGACAGTCTCCTGTTGCACTGTTGCTGGCAGTTTTTAAGTGCAATTTTAATATCAATAGCTCAGAACAGCCTGTACTACCTGCCTGATGCAGGCTTGAAAGTTATGTCCCATGCTTTCTGTTGCTGCACTTTCTATTTGTAAGTGTGGAAGAACGTAAAAAGATTTCCCAGATGTAGGTAAGAGATATTAGGAAACACAGAGGATCTGTGAGCATCTCCTGGAGAAAGGGAGAGAAGAAAATATAAAATTTTAATGGAAAAATTCAGGACATTGATGGATGGTATCACACAGCCTGGGCTTACCCTGGCATCTGGTCTTCAGGTATGCACTCTACCTGCATTGTGGTTATACGCTGGGGGAAGACCTGGCATGCAAACCTCTGTGCATGTGTGTGCCTTGCTTTCCCTTGGGAGGTGCAGGTAGGCAGGGAGTCCAGTGCTGTCTTATCAGGCCCCTTATCTAGGTGACTAGAGGAGAAGGACTGAAGGGAGAACTTGTGGATGTTTACTGGTCTCTCTTTGTGGTTAGTTTCTCAGAAAAAGGCTGTATTTCTGTGTATAATATTTTCTCAACATGTCCTTTAAAGCTGAATTAATATTAGCCTTGTGTCTTGTCTGGGGTTGGTCCCGTGAAATGATACCATCTGACCTGTGTCTGCTCCTCCTGTGGCTGGTGCTGGGCCTGGAGATGAAGGGGAATGGTGCTGGAAACGCAAATGCTGTTGTATGTCCCCCCAGGGCTCCTGCGTACGTCCAGGTGCCCTACCCCATGGACTGCTCTCCTGTGGGAGGAGGAGGAGGAGATGTTTCCGTGGGTGGCTGCCCTCCAGAGGTACCCAGCCTTGGAGGGTGGAAAGGGAAGAGGTCAAACATACAGCTCCAGTCTGTTTATCTCTTTGAGAGGGGTTGGTGGCTCCATCTGAGCCAGTGGAGAGACTGAGCAGCCCAGCTGATGCAAAGCCTCACACAGGGCTGTGTTTTCCCATCCCGCAGAAAGCTGACCGTCCTGCTCTCCGGTGTGGTAAAGGAGGCAGCTTCTGGGGCTATCATGACTAAGGCTCAGCGTGCTTTGAAAAAGGTGGCATTTCCTTTCTTAGGCCACTAGTGAAGTCCAAGGTTACTGTGTACAGACTGTGAATGTTTATTTTATTGATTTCTCTAGACTGACCTAAGTTCAGCTGTGATTTGGTGCTGCAATACTTTGAGGGGGACTATTCCTATTCAAAATAGTGCGGAGCCATTTCCTAGCCTGGCTCTTGGACTCTTGAAAAGGACCATGAGCCAGGGTTGTGTGCCCTGATGACAGTCAGAATTTGCAAAAATAATATGATACTCCTCAGGGAAGACTTTAATGAAATATTTCTGAAATCAAACTGAAGACTAGCTTGACAGGAGTTTGAACTGTGTGGCAGTGCTGATGAAAAGAAACACCTTTCTGTTTTCCTTACCCTGGTCCAGGCATTTAAAAAGAGGTATTATTTGCTTGGCTCTGGTGCGAAATCACCTGTGAAGAAAGGCTTGAGGGTGGTCTGCTCTAAGCTGTAACGTACCTGAGCTGAGGGAGCCCTCTGAGACATCTATGCAGTGTGGAGTGCCAGGAGGCATCTCCACTTCCACTGGCAGCTCCTCCTCGAATTGGGTTGCCCCCTCTCCCTGGAGGCATTTTGAGAGGCAGAACACGGGAGCTTCCCTGCAGTCTCCTCCCTCCCTTGCTGTTACCAGAGGCAAGGACCTGTGCCAAATGACAGATGAGGTATCTTAATCGCTTAGCTTGTTTAATATTCATGATTAAATATATACCACATCCTTCAGCTGCTGTAGAGTGGAAATGTTATAAAGCAAAAGGTCAATTTTCTGCTGCTTCCCTCCCGAGTATGAAGCACAATTGTAATGCATATGCTCTCTTCTGGACAGTGTACAAAGTCTAAAATGTAATTGCTTCTATCTGTCCATCTCCACATGCATTTTGTTTTTACTCCAGGTACATAAATCTCTGCCCCTTGAGGTTCTTCAGCAGATGGATGCTGGCCTGATTAAAGTGTTGATAACGGGTATTACTAATGGGAGCACGGTGGTAAGTTTCAATTTACTGATTGCAGAAGATGTGGATATCTACTACATCATCACCACTTTTCGTGATGCCTTTGAACACAGCTCCTATTTCACAATTGACAAAAGCAGTCTCTCCATAAACGGTAAGGAGCAGCTTGTATCCCGATAGTTCTTCAGAACTAGAAAGATGATAAAGCCTTTTATTAATCTGTATTTTTTGAGGTGAAAGTATCTGCAAAGCAGAGGGATGAAAAGCCATTCTCTCTCCTTATATTGCTCCTGCTTATCCATCCAAAAAACTTTTTCAGAGAACATCAAAAGATGAAATAAGAAGTGAGGTACTCCTGATCCAATAGGACAAAACCAACTAGTCTTTTTGTCTATAGCTAGCATTAATTTTATAGAGAAGAAGGTACATTAGAAACAGTGGTCACAAATTGAGGGTTTTATAAGCTACCAGTGGAAACAGGCCCCTGTACACAGACATAGCTAGCTTTGTTTAAAATAATTTTGAACCACATTACTCTCTGCTTTGCACTGATAATTTTTCATGAGATAGAAACCCCAAGAAACAAATAAATGAAACTGTGAATCCTTCTGCCCTGGGAGTATGTGTTTTCCTCACATACCTGTGTGTCGAGAGTTCAGATGAAAGTCATCACTTTACCAAGACCAGCACAATGGCTGATTGTACAACTTCTTTTCCTTTATATGTAATTTTAGTTGGTAACAAGAAACATTAGTCTCCTGACTAACTGCTGTTGAATGCTGTTTCACAAGTTGATGTGTCATCTCTGAAAAAAATAACAATTTCTATATCCTTAACAGGATATAATTGTCCAAAGAATATTGTTATAAGCTGTCAATGAGAATCTCATGCAAAATGACTTCAGAAACATGTATAGGGTCTGTCCTGTACATTCTCTTTGCCTGTTACCTTCACAGCTGTGAATCTGGAAAGTTACATATCCCATTAATTAGTAAGATCATGACTGTCTCATGGTAGTGCTTTGTAGAGTGCCTGCCCTCTTTGAACCTGTGCTAAAACAAATGGTTTGTTTCAGGGACAGGTCCCCATAGAGCAGGTGGTTAGTCCTGCTTTTTGAGTCCCACTTATGGCTGTACATCCTTATGCTCTTCTAGACCCAGCAGCTGTCTGACACATAGAGTATCACACCTGAGAGATGTAATCCCACCGTGATGATACAACTGTGCTCTAGTTTCAGAACCATCACATTTTCATTTATATAGTCTCCACCTTTGCCTTTTGCTTAAATATACCCAACAGATTATGATGAGTGCAAAAGCGAAGAAGATGACTGCTCCCCAGATGCATCATGCCATAACACACTGGGGTTTTACCAGTGCAGCTGCAATGAAGGATTTGCTGATGTGCATCCAGAAAGGCCTGGAAGAAGCTGTGAAGGTAAAAAAGAAAATATTATCTAATGTCTAACGGAACACTTAGTGTTCTGATCTTTACTAGATCATGGTCACACTTGCCAGAGGTCTTGAAATTTTGCCAGGGATGAATTTAGTTTGTTGTTTTCAGCTGGATCCTAATGGGAAAAGTCTTGCAGCGGGCTTCAAGTATTTATGACTGTAATACTCTATGAGAGTTTACTATATTAATATTTAATGTTGTCTTTGTAAGGTTCTTTTAACAGTTCTGTTTTCTCATATTTGCCATTAAAATGATATAGGATTGTCAAGACTGTTACTTATTTTTACTAGCAGTAGCAGAGGGGACAGCAGAGATAATAGAGAAGGTAACAGAAAGCACTGGGCAGGTGGTTTGACCTCTGTATGGCAGCAGGGATGAAATGTTGGTATTACAAAATACTTTTTTGTATGAGTCAGTTCATCTAGCTTCTGTCTTTCCTTAAATCATTTGTTAGCTGACATATGATGGGTCTTTAAGCTCCTAAGTTCTTTTAGGCTTCTTCAGTAATTTATATTTGTTTCTGTAACCACGGTGATAAGCTACTCTTTGGCTGAAGTCACAAGGATTTGTCAACTGATACCAACCTTTCCTCAGTTTTGTTTAACCAAGATATTTAGCATTATGATAATAAGCTTTTGGAAAATTCAGCACTGAAAGAGCTCAGGCTTTTCTTTTTCTTCCTCTTATGTTCAAATCAGCAACTTCTTACTTTGGAGCTTTTCCGAAAGGTGGGGAGTTCCAAAAGGATATATATATATATATATATATCTGTACAGATTTTATATGTTGCTTGGGAAATAGATGTTCTTTGTATGTACAACCCATTAAAATTATTCAAGAGAACTTTTGTGTGATGAGACAATGGAATTTATTATCTTAGTGCTAAGTCAGTGGTAGATGAATACTTAGGTTGTTTCTACCAGCAAAGTGCCATGGGGTATCCCCAGAGCCTGTGTTTGATGTTAGGTGTTCGACATAAACAGTGATCTCAACCTGTGCTTCCCCTTTCCCCCTGCATGCTTTCTTCTTGAAACCATTAAAGATTGCTCAACTCCCCACTGTGTCCCTCAGGACACACATGTGCAATGTGGGTCTGCTACATGAGGTTTGTCCTGCACTTCCTCCAAAAAGGGTTTTCCAAAGCGCTGAGGGTCATATCTTTTGGGTACCAACTGGTCACCAATGGGGCCAGTTTTAACAAACTCTGCTCCTGTTTATACCCCACATCCAGAAGTGGGCAGTCTTCTACAGTACTAGGCAAAAAAATACGAACACTTGCTGAGCAGCTTACAGCTGGGTAACCCTTGCAAGCACTGATTTTCCAAAAGCTGTATATATGTGTTTTACTTGAGTACACTAATTATTGCAGCTCTCAGGAAATAAAGGACTTCAGATTTACTCACAGGCACTTTATGTATCTCTTGCACTCTTTGTTAAAAAAACCCACAGCTTTGGCAGTAAGTAGAGAGGGTTAAAAAAACAGAAGCTGGTTTCCTGCCAGTAATTGTGAGTTTCTTCCTATGGGTTTGCTCTTACCTTATAAAATCAATTTGAATCTGTAAATTACAACAGTACCTTTATTTTTGGCACTCTTCAGCATTTCCTATCAGCCAGGAGGCAACGCTGACGGATAAGAAACCTGTACACAGCACAGTTTTACCTGCAACATCTTTGCAAACTTCGGCTCATGTTTCCTTCCCTGCTTCACTGGACTTCTCTACTGCTGAACACAAAGCTCTGGAGGACACTACATTCTCCAGCATGGTGCTGCCGCCTCTCACCACGGATCCTGTGTCAACTCCCAACGTTCTTCCTCAAGCATCTCCTGTCCCCCTCGTTAAACCTGCCCAGGACGTTTCCATTAAAGATGCAGTGAGAGTGTTCTGTGAAATCGAGAAGATTGTCCTTGCTATCCAGAAGAGATTTTTACAGCAGGAGTCTATCCCAGAAACCTCTCTGTACCTGGGGGAGCCTCACTGCAACGTGAGCATCAGCAACGGCACTCATGTTGTGCTGCAGGCAGGCTGGAATGACTGTGGCACTGAGGTTGAGACTGTAAGTCCCCTGAGCCCATGAATGCAAAGAAGCACCAGAGCATTTTTTTTTTTATCTTGGGGGTGAGGTGAGAAGGGGGACAATGGCAGATCCTTAGCTAGGAGTAAAGTCTACTAGTTGCTGAAATGTTCAAGAAATTTCTTTGGAGAAAGAAAACCTCTTCCTGTGAGTAGAAAGTTACCTTGCTGTTTGGGGAAGAGAGCAAGCCAGAAAGAGAAGGGGAATCTTTGGGGTTCATGCAGCAAAACTCAAGGGCTTCTCCAAACTGAGAGTCACTCCCATGTCTCTCTGGGTTCCCTCTGCAGATTTCAGAAGCTTCTCTTTCTTAAAAGCAATTTCATTATCATATTTAGACAAGTATCCCAGTTGCTACCAGTAATGGGGACAAAGGGTGATGGCTATCTCTTTGGATCCCAAACCAAACACTATGCTCAGGCCATGCCAAAGTACAGAAATTCCCTTGTAGAACAGACTGAGGAAGAGGAGGAAGGCTGGTGGGTTTTCCTTGTCTCATTGTACAGCAAATAAGATACTAGAGGTTTAATCTCTTTGATTTTTGCAGCTAGGAGAATGGAGAATTCCTAAGCACTTGAAGCTGGTAAGCCTGTAGCTCTGTAATATCCCTAGATATACTGATGTTCACAAGTTGTGCTTTCTTCTTTCTGTGTTCCAGAACATGACTAATACGGTAGTGAAAACCATCCTTCGGAATGATGTTTCTGCTCAGGAAGTAATCCACAATTTAAAAGTTGCCAGTCCCATTCACTGTGTGTTTCAAAATGATCTCTTGACTTCTTCTGGATACACTGCAGAAGGGTAAGTAACAGCTCTCTCTGCTTTGAAACACTGTTGTGTGGCTGAGCGCTGCTGCATCAGAAAAATCCCCAGGGACCTTAGCTGCATCCAGTGACAGTACTTGCTATGCCAAGTAGTCTGCCATCCTGCAAGTCCTGTGCTCAGGTGATCCCTGCTATGGGCTTCTTTCCCTACTCCATCTAATATGTCAATAGATCCAACAGCCAGCAAGACTGGCAATTGCCTGGCTAAACCATAGATGAAAAACCTTTGGGAGCTACTGGTGCAGGTTCGGGAGCTAGAATTCCTGACTCCTCTTTGCCTTCCTCGGCAATCACCTGTAGCAATAACAGTTATTTCCCTGCTTTTGGAACATAGCAATGATGTATCTTTTCAACTGATGTAGGCATGCAGACTGCTATGTGGGTGCTGAGGATGGCAGTTTTTAACCCCCACAAATTCTTACTTGATCAACTTGGAAAAAAGAGAAGATATATAATGCAAGTACTTTTTAATGAAAGGCCCCATCTTCAAGTAAGATGGAATCAAATCCACTGTTCATAGAAAATCAAACCCATGCTCACAGAAAAAGTGGCAGCACAAGCTTTGCTCTGATGGTGAAGGTTCTCCCATCGTACAACTGCACCTCCTCTCTCTTGCCTAGCAGCATGCTTAAGGTATCATCACCAAATCCACTTGCTGTTTCCTAACCCTCCAGACATTGTATTTTCCTTTCTATCCCCCCACAAAGTCTTTGTCAGGCCCTTTCTCTCTAGCTCTATAATTTTCTCATGCCCCTCACTTAGTGTTCAGATTTGTCTCTTCTTAATTTTTTTGGCTCTTCCCTTCTTCACTAAGCTTTTGCTCTCCTTATTTTCAACTTTAAGACAGCTCATAGTCTTGTTCCCCTTCAGCTCCACTTAAATCTCTCTCTGTGCTCTATTTGTATTGCCAAGACATTCCACCCTTTGGGTTTTCCCACTTGCATTTCCCTGCTCCCTACCTTCCCAACTAAAAACTCGATGCATTTTCACCCTTTCCTCTTGAACAGTGTCCTAACATCCTGGACTGCAGATAACTCTTCACTACTAAAATGCACAAGAGGTGAAGAAACAGGCACTGATTTATGACTTATAGAAACACACAGTCAAATTTATGGTCTTTAAAGGAGGTTAATTGATGTTTCAGACTTTACACGATCTTTGAGGATTTGCATGGATCTGGACACTTCAGAACAGAAATGCAGTTGTTTATTGGAAACTCCCCAATACCAAAAAATTTCAGCGTCTCTGCCAGTGATGATGTACTGATTGAAGTGGGGATCCAGAGAGCAGACAGCAAGCTCAAGGTGGTCCTCACTGACTGCTGGGCAACTCCAACTAATAATTCAGTGGATCCCCTCTCATTTGTTTTTATCAGCAACAGGTACAGCAATGCCACTTGCAAATAGCATGTGCCATACCTTAGATCTTCCAGTGGTGCTGACTACTGATGTGTTATATTTTAAATGCCTTTTATGTATGTTCTCGTCATTCATATACACAGTCACTTAGCATTGGGACTGACTGGTCACTCCTTTTTTGAACAAGAAAGGTAAGTATGAAAAGAAAATGTTTTCAAAGGGTAATATGGTAGTTGTTTGAGTTTGCTTGTCTTCCCCATAGTTTTGTAAAGGAATTGTACTTTTGATGTGAAGAAATAGGTGGGTTTGGCAGTCAGTAGTGAAAGAGCATTTGAAAAGTGTGTGCTTTATCTATTTCTCCATGGTTCAGTTTTACCAAGAGCTTACGTGCCTCTCGTCAATGAAGACATAGGTTAGTTGATTCCTATGTGTTGTGACTCACACACAATATTAATGCAGCCTCTGGTAAAAGAGGAGGTTTGCTCCTGCCTGGATCCCTAATCTCACCCTGATGTCATATTCCTTGGGGTTACCCACCACCTTAAAATACAGGATAGTCCTTTTGCTCAGTAAGAAAAGCTATTCCTTTTAATATGGTGTTCTTTCAATTTGTGTTTAGTGAAGCCAAGTTTAAAGCCTTCTTTCCGTCACTGTTTCCCTTCTTTTCCAACTCTCCAACCACTTCTTGAATCTCCTATTTTATTTGGTTACTGTGAGAATAAAGCAGCAAATGGCCCTTTATCACCCCTGCACTGGTGGAGAGTTGCTTCACGGAGGGTCTGGCTGTGACTTTCTAAAGGAGCCTTAAAACCCGAGTTATGTGCTATAACCACAACATGCCTTCTATAGACCTAGCTGCTATGTATGTTTTTTCTCTTCTTTTTCAGTTGTCCCATCCCAAATACATATACCACACTGCTAGAGAATGGGAATTCAAGCAAAGCACAGTTTAAGATGAAAATTTTTTCCTTTGTCAACAATTCTGTGGTTTACTTACACTGCAAAATTCGTATTTGTATGGAGACACCAGGAAGCACCTGCAGGACAGTAAGTGTTTTGCTCCAATATGCTGGTTTTCTCTGACATCCCATATGCAGTCCTGCTATGGAATTGAAGGAGCAATGTTTCCAAACAGGGTTTAAAATAGCTCTTGAAGTTTTCCTTCATTGTCTGCTGAGAGCAGAGAGGAGTGGGGAAGAACTACAACCATATGGAAGAGTCTGCCTTTCTTCCTGTTCCTCGTCCTCATAGTTAAAAGCACGGAGCTTGCACAGAAACGGGGAAATCAAAGTTGGGGAACCTGAGAACGGAACCTTTCATCTCTGCATAGGGGTGGCTAGAAGGGAATGAACAGAAGTCATAATGAGATAGGCTGTTCAGAAGCACGTCAACTCAGATGGACATCTCACAAAAAAGAGATACTGGCAGTGTCAGCAGCAAGTCTGAGTAAATTGATTTGGAATGTTTTTCTGTCCTTTTTTTTCCCCTAGAGATTTGCTCCTCCAGGTGAGAGTTTAGGTGCCAGGAAAGGAAGCCCGGTGGCATTAAGTTTCTAGGGCTGTGATTCTAATAGAGTTTATTATGGCTTTTTAAAGCCCTATTGCTTTTTAAAGCAATAAACCAAGCAATGCTCTGGTAACAACTTCAGTTTCTAATTGTCCGTGCTCCAAAGCATTGCTTTGTTTCTTTTTGCTTCTAAGTGATACACGTTGCTTCATCTAAAAATATGTTGCAACCATAGAAAGAAGGAAAAATAGGTTTTGCTGATGGCTTGCTTTATAGCAGATACACAGGAATTCTCCTCTCCCTCTGCCAATCTTCCTGGCTCTTTTTCTGTTAAGGATGTTTTCATTAGCAGTTTGGTGTTCCTCCATTGTTTAACACTTTCCTCTGGCTCTAAATAACTCAGTTTAAGCCCATTATAAAGCAAACGATCTCTTCCTAAAGGATTAAGAATGGCTAGCAGAAGATACTTGTTTCCTTTCCCAAAGTATAAAGCTTCCTCTAGATTTAAAAAAAAAATAAAATAATGTAGGGACAGGAAACACAGCTGACAGATGGAAAGATGGCTCCAGTTTTCACAGTTGAATTTGCATGTTAAAAATCAGTTCTTCAGCAACCCCCACCCTATGCCCTCCTTTGGAGGAGGGGGTGCCCTACCCGAGTTCTCTGTGTGTCCTGCACAGCTGAGGAGGGACATGGTGGTGGGTGCAAAGCAGGGGAATAAGACGGATGGGCAGGACAGGCACTGTGTGGGCTGGTATGGCTGCTGTACGGAATCAAACAGTTGCTTTGCTAGGAGCTGCTGGATTTGCCTTTAGAGCAGGCTTTAGCTGTATGGATTAGTGTTTAGGAACACGGTTGACTAAAGGACTGGCTTCTATCTGAATTACAGGGGTCTGTGATGGGGTAATTCTGCTAGCCCAGGATGAGGTTTGATTGAGATTGGCATCTGCAGTAAACAAGGCACAGGAGAGTTAATCAGTGAGGCCCTCTTCTTTCATATATTCTATATTATTAATTTCTATATTATTCGTATATATATGTGATATATATTGTTCTTTCTCCTATCCAAAATTTACCCCCTATGAAAAGTTAGTGAATTCAGTATCTTAGAATGAGATTAAAATGTTATGCAGAGAAGACAAGTACTAGGCACATCTACACAGGATGACAATGGCTTTTACAAAGAAGGGAGGGGGAGCTGCAGGAGGTGCAAAGATCAAGGAAAAGTGGAGCAAGAACAGAGCATATCTGGAAATAATATGAGACGGCTGGGAAAGTGCCCAAGGTCTGGGATCTGATCCTCTGATCTGTCTGCTAATCTGGAGAATACTGACTTGCTTCAGGGCAGATTTGCTTCAGCTCTTTGCCCACAAAATTGAGACTTACATCTTGTATTATTTCTTCTTACCCAGTCTTTTTATTCCTTGTTTTCTTGGTGGAAGAGAGTAAGGTGTTTTAAAGTTTAGAGTAGAAAAAAATAGACAGACTGGTAACCAATGTAGTACGAAATGAGTAAGAAACATGACTTTGAATGGGAAGAGGAGCGATGTACCACCACCATGCGTTTGGTAGAACATGGCTGTTCCATGGCCACGTGGAACCAAAAAACCATTGACATCAGGGAGCAGGTATGTAACTGTGTTCTCTAATGGATATGCCTAGCTGGGAAAGCTATTGGAGGGTGAGCCAAAGTCGTAGCTACATGGGTATTTTTCTGGCAGCTGACCCAGCTAAAGACACTGTTGCTGACAGTGGATTGTAGAGGGTTTTCAGTGTAACCAGGCTGGTAACACTGGTGAGACATTCTTCTCTAGACAAGCTGGTAACACACCCTTGCACTTCCATGCTTTCTTTTGATGATTATAATATGGTACTGCAGTTTCTCTGTTTTTTTTGTGCACTTCCAGGAAAGCCACAGTATCTTTTGAATAACCTCAACAGGCTATGGTTCCCATCAGAGACCTTTAGGTTGTAACTTAAAACAAAAAGGTATCAGACAAACTGAACAGTGCTACTAAGGAAGCGTGCAGGAGTGTGCTGTGAATTCTGCAAGTGCTGCTCACATGAATCTAAAGCAGCTAATCCCCAACATTTCATGGGGCAGGGCTTTCAAACTAGTAGTTCCTGGATTAGTAGTTCGCATGTCACTGAAAAGTTGTGCATTGCTTCAAAATGACACACAGCTTGGCAGGGGCTGAAAGTTGCCACTGCTTTTGCTGGTGCTGGTTGTAGTATCTGCTATGCCTGCCATGGGAAGTAGAAACATTCAAACAAATATGTTTGCAAAACCCTGGCAATAGAAATAGTGAGAAGTTTATTCTCCCATAAGGTTTCTCTAAAACAAACAGAAAGTTAATGAAAAGAGATTGTGTGAAATATCTGTTCACAGCAGTGTCTTCCAGTATGACTAGTTACAGATTTTTATACTGTTGTTTCCTGAATGCCATTTCTTTTGAATTTCCATTTGGTGCTCATTTCAGTTTAACAAAGCATAACATGAGGAAACAAAAATGCCAATGAGTGAGAATAGCACTGTGCTTTCACATAGTCATCAGAAGGCTTTGTATTTTTAATTAGTAAGCCATATTACTTGTTGGAGTTTGAATTGACTGTTGCAGAGATGCCATGGGGTTCGATCCCTGAAGACTGGTGAAACCATCTCTACGCACAGAACATCCTGGGGACCCCTATGTAAATCTGCTGGTGAGTTATGAACAGATGCTTACAAAAATGGGACACAGAGTAACTATCATTTCAAGATTCTTTTTCACTGGCAAAGGAACCTGAAGACCTGTAATATGAGGTTTTCATGCCCCTCTGCATATTCTTCTGAGGAGCAGGTGTTCTTACTGAAACCATGTGGCAGTGTGGAAATGCATGCACTCTCCTTGGTGAAGTGACTGTCAGATTGTCAATGGAATGTAGAAAGGAATAGGATAAAGTGCTTTGTGGAGCTATTTGCACAGGGTAGCAAGTACAACGGCCACAAAATCAAACAGTTATTACAATTGTAAAGTGTAAAAGCAGCTTGAATCTTTTAGATTGCAATCAGTTTTTCAAGTGTTTACTCCACACTGTTGTTAGACCACAATTATATTGAGCACTGAAGTCCAAAATCAGAGGAGATAAGAGATTGTGGTGTTGTGTTTCCTTAGACTCCCTGGTATTGACTTCATTACTACCGTGAGGGAAAGTGGCAGAGCACAGCTGATGCACAGCACCTTGGTTAATCTGGTGGAGTGGTACAGTACAGGTTGATAGAAAGCGAACACCAGCACTGTGTATAAGCAAGGTCTAATTTGTTATGCATCTGCCTCTTCTGCATCTACCCCGAGTGATGTTTTCAAGGTCACCTGTGGCCTCTAACATTTTCAGTCATTTGGCCTCCTCCAGCCATTTGTGTTCATATCGTATTAGCGTAAAACACTCATCGAGAGTACACACCAATCTCAGAATTTTAACACATGGCTACTGTGAACAGACAGAAGTCAACCCCTTCCCTCCTGCTGGTTGCCTGTTCTGCCAGTCACTTAACGCTCTGCTGACTGTGGAGATGAGTTAATGCTGGACTGTTAGTGGGTTCAGGGTATTTTTTTCTGCTCTGCTGTGATGGTCACAATGTTCTTTTGGACCTAGAAACTGGCTCTGACTTAGCATACTGTATTTTTCTTCCCTTAATGCAAGTATTTGTTAGAATAGGCCTTCAGTGTTCATTTCTGAATTAGTTCTTTTTTTAAAACTTAGCAATCAATATAGCTTTCTTTGTACAGCACTTACATTAAGTAGATCTCACTCCCATTTTCCCTGGAGACCCCAGTGCATTTCTAATACTGAAAAATGGTCATTACACAAAAGGCACTCTGGTGAGGGGAGCTTTATTTGGGTTGTACTACATCGATTCCTAGGCATAGGTGGCACTACTAGATGTTGTCTCCTATTTCCAATTTGGATACTCACATCACATTTTAAGTGTGAGGCTAGACCAAGACAGTGATATGCATCTCTGTGTTGAAGGAGACATCATGAATTATGATGTCAGGTAAGCTGCTGCAGTGAAACATGAAAAAATCTTTAACTGCTCTGCCTATACTGCTTGGCCACATGCTATAGGTAAGACCACTGATACATGTCCTCAGGAAAGCCTGTCCTGTCTGTGTCTGGCTACAGGCTGCCATTTCCACTGTGCATCTTCTTTTTTATTCCTTTGTTTCATACTGAAATTCAGAAATCATCCTAAATATATTATGTAATGATGCCCTGGATGTTACGTAGCTTGGACACTGCTATTGCATACCCCTGTGGCTGCCAACAGTGCCCTTTGGCCAAAGATCTTGTCTCTAATTACAGGCATGTATGCATTAGTATTTGTCTTCTGTGCACCTCAGGTATTGCACAAGTGCTTGGCTAAATAAGCACTGTCCTGAAAATGTATGCAGACAAAGAGATGTCTTTGTAGGTGCATCAAGCATTTACAAGAATGAATTAGAAGTGTGCAAGAGTACATGTACAAACATCAATAGAAGCATAATGTTAAAGGGAGAGGGGATTCTGCTTGCAGATTTGAACAAATACATGAAGTGTCTGCATGTGAACCAGGCAAACACATTCTGTCGATGGTCAATGGAGCCTAGGGAGACAGCTGGCAACAAGGGACTTGACTCTTGCCCACACAGGCGTTTAATGCTCCTGACTCATAGTGCCCTATTCTTTCCTTCCCCTCAGTGTCTGGGTGCTATTCCAAAAGACTATAGGTCTCCTGCAGGTCCCATGCCATGTCTGCCAGACCTGTGCAGACAGGGTAGACACCCTTGGGCTTCTCAGGTGGCACTAGATGCCTATGCACAGGCTACAGAATTGAGCCCATGGTGACCACTTCAGTGTGATTCACTTACCTGCCTCCATGGATTGCCCCAGACAGATCTCTGCTGACTAGAATGGGAGCTTAGAGACCCAGCACACATGGAGAATCCTTCCCTAAATACTTTGTGTTTACAGAAGCATTACTTATGAGATAAAAGCACGTCAAGTGGTTTTTAATAATCATAGATGAACAGAGGCAGGATTAAGATGGGAGAATCCTTCACCTCTAGGGTCATTCTGAAAGTAAGGCAGCATTTCAAAAAGTCACCAGTGCTGATCCTTTAATTCTTATTTTAACAGAAAATTTTAGAGTCAAATTCCAAAGACACATCACACTTATGTCTTCAGGGACTCTACACTTGTATGTAAAAAGAGAACTTGGATTGTGGCTCACAGACCTTTCCGTGAGAATTACCCTCCTCAAAAGGCTGATTCGCTTCTGTATATCACAGCTCTGTGCTTCAACATGCATGTTGGCTAATTTGTAGGCAAGGCTTTTTTCTTACCCCAGGAAAAGGAATTTCAAAGCTTTTTTTTTTCCCACCTCTTTTTTTTTTTAGCATCTGATTTGAAGAGAAAGAAGGAGGCTGGGATGGGAGTTGGATACATCATCCTCATTGCCTTTGCTGTGTTTGGTTTTGTGCTGGGAGTTGTGAGCCTTCTTATTTTCCAGTACCAGCAAAAGATGGGAATATACAACTTCAGAATCAAGTCCGACAACTTCAGCTACCAAGTGTTCTACGATTAGCGATTTCCAGGTTACCAGATGTAAGTACTGAATTATGATCAGTTACTTTTTTTAGGTGTTTATCTCTTCCTGAAATGGTTAAATACTTGCAGATGAGCATCCTCTGTTTAAGGGTATTTGAACCTCCTGTCCTGTTTGCTGTGGGTGAAGGTCACAGAACTAAGAATGAAATTCCTACTATTCTTGCCTGTTTTCAAATGCTGCAAACTACAGAGGAGGAAGACAGCCTTCTCTTCATCTTCCTTCATGGCTTCAGTCTCAGTCAGTGTACATGACACACCACTTTAGAAGAACACCAATAAACATTTCTATTAAAAGTGTATCACTTTTGGTTTTGGATCATGGATTGGTATAATAAAGGAGACCAATACCACTCTCTTTATAAATCTGCTAATTTGCTTCAAAAGTTATCCCTTTCTGCAAAAGCTTGGGTTTAATTTTTTTTTTTTTTTGGAGGGTGTGCTTTTCAGGAAAGTAGTGGAATGTTAGACATGAAGAAAGAGCTTGAAATATTGATAATCCACAAGCAGTGCTTACAAATGCCTGCAGAGAGTCTGAAAAGACAGCTCTGAGGAGTGTTAACCACTACTACATGTTCTGCCTCTGCAACTTGGGAATTTAACACTTTTCCAAAATACCATAGGATTCAGCACTTTTTCTGTAAAATGAGTGCGTTCTAGCTGCTCACCACCATTTGTATGTTTGTCCCTTTAAGAGGAGGAGAGAGAGGTGAGAAAGCTGGCTTGCTGTAAAAGAACATCTAATACTGCTTCACAACTCAAGGATGTTTACTGCAGATCCAATTCTGTTCCTGGAAACAGGCTTATTTTACATTGTTACCAGAGTTAGTCAGTAACTCTTTCCTGATGGAGGCCTCATACATGACAGTGCAGCTGCTATGACCACAGTAAATTCACTAGACTCATCATGATGGTATTTACAGATAATTTAGTTTGCTTCAGTAAGTACAATAGTGCTTAATACATATCACAGAGAAAGGACAGGGAAGACTGTATCCCAGCTATCTGCTTCTAAAGTCTTGAATAGTCACTATTAGCTCTATTTCCCCTAGTCTTACGTTACAGAGACCACCCTCTGTAGTCATCTATGGGCAGCTCCTAGGAGATGGTTGTAGGTGAGAGTGATGCTCTGATTGCTTCCCAAGGGCTGGGCAGGGCTGCCTGTTGGGAGCACAAAGGGAAGGTACCCGGGGCTCCTTGGTACAGCTCCAGCAGCTGTACAGTTCCATTAGTGATACAGGTCCCACTAGGGAGCCATAATCCAGTATAAAGGGCATATCTAGGTCCATTAAATTAAAACCTATATGTGAAGCCTCTCAGTGTCTCCACAGAGAGAAGAATGGCTTGTCTTCATTCATCATTCTGCTCTCATGAGTGGCCACGGGTGGTTGCAATACTTGACAGTAATGGGAATTCTGGAGTTGTGCAATGAGGTTGTAGCATAAAGGATATTGTCAGGCTCACAACACTTATACATCATGTTGGAGTCTCAGCTAATGGCTCCTTTTAGATGCTGGAACTACTCAGCTCTTCTTTCCTATGTACTTTACTGTCTTCGGAAGGTAGTCGATTACCTTTCTCAGTCGTGATTAATTTTTTTTTTATTTCTCTAGTTGGATCATGTCTCATCACATGGAGAACTGAAGCTTGTCTTCACTCAGCATTTGGCTTTCATTACTCTTCACAACGGTGGTCATGACTGGTTGTAGCACTGACTTCCGAATTAATGTCACATATAAAAGCCTTCTATCCCCCCTTTTTTTTTTTTTTTTTTTTTTTTTTTTAGCAATCTGGCTCTTCCCTGGTGTCCTAAGAACTATTTGTGACTGCAGCTCCAGGTTGAAGTGAATTTTGGCAGGTTTTTTTCCATGGATAGAATAGAAGGGAAAAAAGAAAGACTTCATGGTTCCCTATTCAAGTTCAAAGATTTGGCTCTCCCACTGTGCCATGTTGCTATGTCCCCATCTTAGCAACACTTGTGCCATTACTATTGACAAGCTGCATGTTTCTATAAATATTCCAGAAAGTAAATCAGCAAACCCTTAGAGAGATCTCCTTTTCAGTTTGTAATTCACTATTTACTTAAGGTGAGGTTGAAACTTTGAGCTACAGCAATGTTGAAGACCTAATTGTGCAATGCCTTAAGTATACAGAAGCTGAAGAACAAGTCTTGGATTCTCCATTAAATAAATAAAAGGTACTATGAATCTGGGGCTCAACCTATTAAAGAATGTTCTTCAGCATGAGTTTTTGAGATTTGATTGTAAATTCTTTAATTGACAAGGACTTAGTGGAAAAAAAAAAAGAAATAAACTATTTTTGCTACTGGCAGGTCATATTTTTCCAGATAAGTCAATTGGTACCTACGTATTCTGTTTAATTAGACCACAATGATTGTGCAGTCAAGACACAGAGCGTGCTGCCCACCTACGTGAGAGCAACAGAATAGTTATAAATGTGAGCTGAATTTCTTCTGGCTGCAAGACCCTACCGTCAGTGCAGCAGCAAAGGTTTAGTTTACATGCTACATTGGATAAAACAGCAGTCTGTTCAGCTGGATAAACTGGAACAAAAATCTTTTGACGCAGTAAACTTCTCCTGCAGGACTCTTTCCCAGTGCACTCTTCTTAACTCTGCTGCCCCAAACCTCCACTTCAGTGAGTGTGTTAGAAGATGGAGACTAAAGCAGTGTGGTGACTTGTCCCCACTACCCCTTGGTTCTGATTGCTGCATGCACTCCTCCTACACAGTGATAGTCTGCTGTGTCTGGGTCACATGTAATTCAGTAATTTACAGTGAACAAGCTAATTCGTCTTTAAGCTCAATGGACACCGTTACAAATAAGTTAGTGGAAACTGGTCATTAACCTGAACTCACAAATACTGTTAGTAACCATAACATTTAGGTACTGATTTTTTGGTACAGAATAGCATTGGAAAGCTGCTTTTCTATCCCCCCTGGTCCAATTTCTGTTAGGTAATAAGATTACTGGGTAAAGGACTTCTACATTTTGCAAAAGGTCATACTGATTGATCTTAGAGGTTATATATACACCTTTTAAATATGTCAGTAAATTTCAGAATAATCATTTGCATTCTGCTTTTGATTCAAGTGAATCTATAAGGAGTAAAAATCTTTGACTTGTCTTTTCCTTGCTGAAATATCAGTTACCAGATCCTGATACAGAAGAAGATCCATTTGGTTGCAATTCATCAGTGAAACTGCAAATTATCTTTGCAATCTTAGAGTCCGATGAACATAACCATTAGCTTTTTGTTACGTAGGAGTCTCTTAACTTTTGCTCAGTTTGCTCTCAAATATATAATATGTTTGCCTTCTGCACGCAGTGAAAGGATAAGCTATTTCACTATAAACATTTTTCTAGTTTTTAGTACTTAAAATTCTGAACTGCTCAAAAGTAACAAGACTAGAGATTTAGCTATTGATTTCAGTGGAGCTATGCCATTTACAAGAACTGAGCACTAGTCTTCAGGATGAAATGCAAAACAGTAGCTTGTATTTGGTATCTTGCATGCTCAGCAGAAACTGCTGTTGTGACTATCTGAGTCTGTTTAGTGGAGTTTTGGTGTCTTAATAAAAGCACTCTTATAACCATTGACTTTTGTACTGTTATATTTTCCTTTTATGATTTAGTCACAGGTATCAAGATGTGCATTGTGTGGATGTGGCAGCTTCTGAAGAACTGTTCAAGTATCAGTATAATGTTCAAACATCACTCAAAACACAATACATGACCTTATCTAAACACCAAGGGACTGCAATTACCAAGAACTGCATAAGTACACTTACTACGGGTCTCTTTCTTCACCATTACAAAGGGCAAATGTATTTTTAGTTTCATGCTTTGCAGCAAAGACAACCAAAAGAGTATTCAACATTCCCAGTCCAATAATAGTACTGCAGCAACGTAGTGATCCAGTCTTAAACTAGTATCACACCAGGCTCCCTGCGCATTTGATTTATACAGTTCTGACAGCTGGTCCAAAAGCAGCATATTCAGAGCTTACCCTCAATGAAGCTTACCCTGAGGGCATCAGTGGACTTGTCTGGACCCCAGTGTGAAAAGCAGGGAAGAGCACCAGCACTTGCTCCAAATGCTTCCTTTCTATCCCTGTGCAAAACTGTTGCACAGCTGCCACCCATTTTCTTTATTTGTAATTTTTTTTCTGTGCTATGTTTCAGTGGCTAGTAGTCATTATTTTCTCAGGACTGTGTCCCTTTTTGTCTCCTTTTCATGCTGAGGCACAGGGCAGATTGTTCAGTTGAGGTATCATAGAATCACAGAATGGTTTGGATTGGAAGGGATATTTAAAGATCATTTAGTCCACCCCCCCCCGCCATGGGCAGGGACATATTTCATTAGATCAGGTTGCTCAAAGCCCCATCCAACCTGACCTTAAACACTTCCAATAATGATGTATTCACAACATCTCTGCAAAACCTGTTCTAGTGGTTCACCACCCTCATCGTAAAAAATTTCTTCCTTATATGCAAACTAAATCAACCCTCTTTCAGTTTAAAATCATTGTGCCTTGTCCTGTCACTACAGGCCTTGGTAAAAAGTCTCTCTTTGTCTTTCTTATAAGCCCCTTTCATACACTGAAAAGTTACAATAAGGTATCCCTGGAGCCTTCTCTTCTCCAGGCTGAACAACCCCAACTCTCTCAGCCTTTCTTTATAGGAGAGGTGCTCCAGTCCTCTGATCATTTTTGCAGCCCTCCTCTGGACTTGCTCTAACAAGTTCATGTCTTTCTTGTACTGGGGACCCCAGAACAGGATGCAGTACTCCAGGTGGGGTCTCATGAGAGTGGAGTAGAGGGTGAGAATCACCTCCCTCGACCTGCTGGCCACACTTCTTTTTATACGGCCAAGGATACAATTGTCTTTCTAGGCTGCAAGCATGCGTTGCCAGCTCACATCCAATTTTTCATCCCCATGTCATTCTCTGCAGGGCTCCTC